GAACAGTTTCCAGCTCCGACAGATGGAGGCCGGCCGGGCGGCGGTCAGAGAGAGATCGGAGAGGTCAGGTCGAGAGAGACTTCATCGTGTGTGTTAACGCCACGAGGAGGTGATCCTAGTTACAAATGTTTTCTCATTAACGTCCGAGTCAAACACACAAATCAACTTCCTCTGAACAGAGATGTTGTTATTGGCTGCAGGAGGAAACAGTCTGTGATTCTGCAGCTCATTAGTTCATTAATTAATTTGTCTATTCGTCACATTACAGAAGTTTAATACATTTGTAGCCCTGTGAGAAAATGAGGGGTTATATAAAGGTACTTTATAAAAGAGGAAAGACCTAATAATATAAGAAATTAAGTGGAATTAAGATTATTTTCATAACACTTAATAAGGTTGTTTTCACAATAATTAATAGAGACACACTGAATATTAATAAATTAATGGAGATTTCAGTTAAAAAGAATAAGTGCATTTTAAGTTCATTTTGAAGATAAATAGTTAAATATCGCGAGATCTGCCTTTAGCGAGTTCATGTGGCTTTGTTCTATTGTTTTATTGGTCTGTTGGATTCACCTGTGATGATGGGGACACGGCAGGAGGCAGAAGCTAAGCTAGCACCGAGAGGAGCACAATGTAATGTATCTCGAGTATTGAGAAAAATGATAAACACTACCGCGCTGTTCCTCGTTCACTGAGAGTTTATTGAGGCTAGTATCAGTGTGTGTGGGTGTCTGGTCAACGGGAAGTTAAAGGACAACTTGTCGGACGGAAGGAGGAAGACTTCGCCGTCGCGGTCGCCTGGTGCCCGCCGAAGATTTCTCCAGCTGAACTGTGAGTTTTTACCTGGCGGCACTTTGGGGGTGTGGAGCGGAGGATTTCTCCAGCTGAGAACAGAACAGCCTGGCTGTTTTACTGCGGGAAGAGCGGAGGATTTCTCCAGCTGAGCTGTGAGTCGGACTAGCTGCGCGGGTTTCGCGGGGAGGAGAGGACTTCTGCCGTGTGGTTTCTCTCGTGGGAAGAGCGGATGTTCATCGGCCGCAACGCACCCGAGCATCAAACCGGCCTGCAACAGGGGTTTCTGTTAGCGTGAGTGTGCGTGTGAGTGTGCGTGTGTGGGCCCACGTTAGTGTATAGCATTTTCAGTTATTGAGTATCAGTTATTGAGTATTAAACCATTAAGGTATTTGGTTATACATTTGTGATGAACAATTGAGGAGTATTTTTTAGTATTGCTCAGTAAAGTACTGTTGAGTTAGTCCAGAGGTTATTATTTATTTCTTTTAAGGGGGGTATAAGTGTTTTGGAGACACTCTATATATAATTTTGTTTGTTTGTTTAATTTTAATTTAAAGGGTAAATATTTGTATTGCCGCAAAACCTTAAGTAAACTACATTTGTTTAATTTTATAACGTTGTCTGGTGTCCGTTAATAAGTTAGAACAAGTGTATTGGTTTGGATTATTTTTGAATATCAGTAACAGTAATATCAGATTACTTTAAATAGGTAAACCTTCGGGTAGCTACCTTAACACCAAACGAACCCAAAATCACCCCATTAGTCTAGGGTACAGTGGGGTGCTACACATTTCATCAAAGTTTATTTTTTTAGTTTTGTTTTGAATATTTTTCACTCTTGTTTTCACTGATGGATCAAGTTCAGATCTGCAAACATCTGGCTGCGGTTTGGTCTAAATTCATTACGACACATTCAGGTGCATTACATGTGTTTCAGTTATTATTTACTACATTTATAATCTTCTCCAGTCATCTGGTGCAACAGTCACAGGGTGGATGTTTCTACTGATGTGAGTGAAGCACTGACTCCTGCTGGACTTTGTAGTTTTATTATCTCTGTTCCTCTGAACCGTGTGTGTGTGTGTGTGTGTGTGTGTGTGTTGGTTTTCTGGCTTGAAAACAAAGTTCAGACCTTCAGTGCCAAAAATCTAAATCTGGTCCGCAGCCATGAAGAGTCCTCACCGACACAGCTGACGCCGGGACGATGGATCTGGACCGAACCAGCTGAGTCCAGAACTCGGACTCCAGGAACTTCGTTTCCTAAATCCAGCATCAGGTTCGAAGGTCTGCAGGAAAAACACAGGTCTTGAAAAACCTGCAAAACCTTTGACTTGATCTCTGGAGCTTGAAACCACCTCCACATCAAAATCAACATCTGTCCACTTCCTGCTCCTTGTCCAGGTCTGGGTCCTGATGGGAGGAGCCTAAAGGAGATGGACTCGAGTCCTCCTCAGCCACCTCCTCCAGCTCCTCTTAGAGGATTCTGGACCAGACTGAATCCCTCTGGATCCTGGTTCTCCCTGAAGAGACCAGTTCAGAACCAATCCTGTGTCCTCCTCTCCCTCCTTTTTGTGCTCACAGCCTCTCCACAGCCTCTCCACACACACACACACACACACACACACACACAAAACATTACCCAGCATCATTTTCATCCCATGAGGCTTTGCTGCTCCACTTCCCACAAATAGCTCCCTGAGTGCTTGGCCCGTCATTACTGCGGCCGGGGACAGAAGAATCAAACGCACCTCGTTGTCCCTGCAGATGCTGAGACGCAGCTTCACTCTGCTGAGCTCAACAACAACAACGATGACAACAACAAACACTGCGTCTTTAAAACGACACAGAATCAGCTCCAACAGCAGAATCTGAACCCTCAGAGAGACGAGGGGAAACGTCCCGGAGTTAAAGGGACAGACTCAAGTTTTACTCTCAGAGTCAAACCGTTTCCTGTTTCCTGTTTCCTGTTTCCTGTTTCCTGTTTCCTGATGGCAGCCTGAAGTTTGGAATGTTTTTTCTACAAACGTCTGAAAGCAGAATTTCAGGGAGAGTTCACACTGTCCAATTCTCCTAGAAAAGACATTTATAACAGACAGAGACTCTGCAGAAGATTTCAGTTTCATCCAGAGAAACGATGATTAAACAGGTTCCACAGTCCAGACAGGAAGTGTTTCATCAGTCCTCAGGCTCTGAGCTTCAGCTCATTCAGTCTGAAGTAAAATACAAGTGTTTAATCTGAGCAGGTCAACGTCAGTGTAGAGACCTTTAAATAACACAGAGTTAAAAGCTTCAGAATCAGATTCACATGAAGCCACAGTCATATTTAATATTTAGTGTCAGTGTGTCACACAGCTTCACTGCAGCTCCCTCAGCGCTGCCTGTTGTTGAGTCTCTAGCTGCGTCTCTGTTACAGTTTTGCACAAAGGAGAAGTTTTTTCTTCTTCAGAGAAGTCGACGAACACGGCAGTGAATGCTCTGTGTTTCACTGAGTGATGTGTGTTAACCTGGGTTCTCTCCTCTCGTAATGTTGTTCTGATGAAACGTGACGTGCCTCTGTTGGACCTCTCTCCCTGACGTCTGATACGAGCCACGAGCTGAATGTCACCTCATGCAAGTAGAATGTTTTTTTGCGACGTTTGAGTTTTTTCGAAACTCACATTTCCATCACTCGTTTTTATTCCTCCTTCATCAGGGAACTTCCTCAAATTTGTCACAAACGTTCACTTGGACTCAAGGATGAACTGATTAGATTCTGGAGGTCAAAGGTCACGGTGACCTCACAAAACACTTTTTTGCCATTGCTCTAGACCGCACAGTAATTATGACAAAATTTTACACACATGGTTCATATCGTCTCTGACTCTGGATAAACAGGATGTGACCTGGAACTAGTCTGAGTGGCGGAGGGATACGACCACGAGGAGGTGGTTCTAGTTTTAACCTGGTACTGGTTCTAAACGTGAATCATTTCTTAGTTCTCTATGGTTCTAAACTGCTTTCCTTCAGCTCTGCACATTTGAAGACGTCATGGAAACTGTTAAAGACATCTTCACTATTTTCTAACATTTTTTAGACCAAAATAAAAACAATCTATTAACTATAAAAATAATCGTTAACTAATCAATGATGAAAACAATTGTTATTTGCAGCCCTAGAAGAAATATGTAAGAAGTAATTGAGTTGATGAAAGATTTCTGCATGAAAATATATTTAAAGGAAGAACAGGAAATACACTGTTAAACTGAGAATGTTACTGGTTTCCTTCAAAATAAAAGTCTTAACTTCTCAGCAAGAATGGATGAGTTTATGATTTATTAATGTGACACAGTAAATATCACGTCGTCTGTGACGTCATCAGCCTTGACCTGAACCATCGAACCAAGATGTCACCAAACAGAGATCAGTGATTGGTCCTCACTCAGGAAGAGACGCCGAGTCTCACATCGTTTACTCTGTAGGACATGACGGGGGAGACAGAGGAGACGTCTCTTGTGTCTGAACATGCTCGTACCTCCGTCCTGTGATGCAGACACTCGGAGCTGCAGATATTAGACTCGTCCTCTGGTCTGGTGACCGGTGTGAGTCCAGATCAGTCATCAGCTGCAGCTCTCCGCTCGTCTGTTTGTTTTCAATCTGGATTTCACCGTCTCACTTGTTGTTTTCATCACGTTCCTGCAGCAGTTTGGCGGTGTGGAGCTTCTCGCTGTGCCAGGCGGGCTGTTTGAAATTGGGTTTGATGGAGGAAAGATGGAGAGAGGTTCAGGAACAGATGGAGAGAGGGGTGGGGTGGGGGTGGAGGAGCAGCAGGGGTCTCGTCTCTGAACTGAATGAAGCTGATCGAACACACGGACGTTGTGTTTGTCGTCTTTTCTCCATCAGGACTGTCAGGGCATCAGCCCTCCTCCTCCTCGCAGTCCTCCCTCTGCTCCTCGTTTTTGACCTTACAGATCCTCGCCGACCCCGCGTCGCCTGCGAGCAGCGGCTGCTTTAATAAATTCATCAGGGTGAAGCTGACTCACTGAATTAAATCAGACGGAGGAGCGAGCTCCGGCGCTGCGGGGCTGCTCTGTAATTCAACTGTTCAAATTTGGGTTGAAGCTAAGTTTAGCTGCAGTCCGGCCTCGTTTACATCTGCGGGGGTGGGGGTGGGGGGTATTTCGTTCTGTTGCCTCGTCGAACATCCGGCCCCCCAGAGGCTGAAATGTCCAAACGGATCAGGGCGGAGCGGGAGGGGGCTGGAGCAGGGCTCGGCTTTTTAATTCTCCATCTTCATCGCTGTGGTTCAGAGAAACGTCTCTGTTCCGTCTGTGACCTTTAATTCTCAGAGCGCAGCTACAGATCTGAAGACAGAGTCACTCATGTCAGTGTGAGTGACTGATCTCAGGTCAGAATCATGAAGATCAACAACGTCTTTGATAAAAAGTCAAAGGTACAAACCGAGTGTTGATCCGTCAGAAGATATAAAAACCATCTCAGTGTAGTTTTACATCTCCTCTCTCAGGCTTCTCTCTGGAGCTCTAGTAACAACAGGTCGGTGAGCCAATCAGAAGAGAGGAGGCTCTGAGCCTCTCTTCTGATTGGCTGACTGTTTTCTGACTGATCCAATAAAAATATAGCAGATTTCAGGTAAAAACACTCAGAGAAACCAAATCCTGCAAGGTTTGGATGGTGGGTCCAGGTGGGCGGGGCTTGGTGACTGCTTTGTTGTGACATCACAAAGTTCCAGAAGTCCTGACGGCTGGTTTTAAGGCTCAGTTTCTGAATACAGGCTGTGTGCATTTCTCTGTGGACTGAGGCTTTGATACTTTCACAGTATTAATATAGAAGCTAGAGCTGATCTATAATCACACTACACATGGACACAGACCTTTACACTGGAGGAGCTTTAACATTAGTGCTATACTGTATATATATTTAAATTAACAACACACCTTGTAAATCAGTTCATTTCTACATTCTTCATTAGTTCAGGATCAATTCAGTTTCCATGGCGACGCATGTTTTACTCCAAACTGTGACAAAAATTTGTGAATTAGCTCTGACCAAAGTAACAGCAGCTGAGGCTCATGGGTAATGTAGTTGTGACCTGTGACTGAGGGTGATGTGATTTTGTGCTTCAGCAGCATATGAAAGACTGGTGCAGTAGATTTAACAAGCACAACCAAACTGACCTCTGACCTCTGACCTCCTCCCTGTTCCTTGTGATGTTGCTGAAGCCAGAAACTGAAGCTGCTTCGAGTTTAGAGAAATCAGACACAAACACGTTTGTATTTGTGGTGAAACTCACTGACACGTCACATTCCTCAAACTCTCGAACCGAGTGTGAAACAGCCTCAGAAGAACAGAGGCCCGAGTCTGAGGCTCTAAAAAGATCCAGGTTTTGTGTCTGAACCTGGTTCTGATTCACATTCCTCATCCAGGTTTTCCTCAGCTGCTCCGAGATTTCACTTATTAGCGTGGGTCTTTGCGGGGGCGCTGACATGGCGTCATGCTGTGTCAGAGCGGCGTCCACAGAACACAGACACTAAGTGGAAGCAGAAGAACGAGACACGTGACTGAGCTCTCTTCTTCTTCTGTGGCAGGTAAGATGTTCAAGTCCCTGGACCTGTCGCTCATCGTGGAGTTCATGCTGATGTTCTACAAAGACAAACCCATCGACTGGCTGCTGGACCACATCATGTGGGTGAAGGTGTGCAACCCGGAGAAGGACGCGGTGAGTAGCTCCTCCTACTGACTGAGGTGAGGTGACGTAGCCACGGCAACAAACACTGCTTCAGTACTTACAGTTTGACATTGTTGGAGGTTGTTTTATTTGAGCTGATCAGTGATCAGTGATGTCATTCTCAGTCAACACACAAGCTGCTGTAAAGATCATCAGGAGCAGAGACGAGGGCCGAGGTCGACACGTCTAAATCATCTCTGACCTCGACGGAAAACATGAGGTCAAAGATGTGACGGTGTCCTTTAACCACAGAAACAAACAGGATGAAATGTTGAAATAAGAAAACATGAAAGAAAAAGACAAACAGAGAAAGTTGAGTCATTAAAATAATAAATGGAAATAATGAACTGAGAATAAATGATATTCAGACAGAAGTTTATAGTTTCCTGATGTTTCTATATAATTGTTAAATAGATCAAATTCATGTTTATGTCTTTCCACAATGGGAGGATTCAGTGCAACATTAATGTATAGACTATAGTGTTTAGTTGTGATGATGATGATGATGATGATGATGATGATGATGTAACTATAGATTCATCAGCTCGTTCTTCATGGCGACTCCTGACTGATGAAAGAGGATGAATCTATATTTATGGATCTGAGCTTCAGTCCATCAGACAGAAACAGCTGCTCTGATGTTTCTACATTTATGTGGCTCTGCTGTGGTTTTAAATGTTGCTGCAGCAAGGCATTGTGGGACGGCATGTCTCCTTTGGTAAAGGAAGCTCCAGTGTTTCCTAAAGGAGATGAGAGAGGAAGCAGTGAAGCTCCTTTCCTCACTCTGATCATGAAGCTGCTCAGAGACTGAAGATCTTTTCTCTCAGTCTGAAGCTTCAGGAGAGAAACAGACTTTTCGTCCGCAGACCTGTTTTCTGGCTCTGATGATGTCACCGTCATTAATCCCGCCTACAAAGCTCCAATTAGCTCAGCTGCTCTTCCAGCTGACGGAGACACCAGAGCTCTGTGTGCTGCTGTATGAGCTACACGTCTTTCTATGTGTTCAGTCTCCACATCATCACATGAGCCACAACTTAATGCAGCTTTAAACATGATGAACACTACACATGGACACATGTCCTCACGTCCACATGTCCTCACGTCCACGTCCTCAAGTCTTCCCGTCCTCCCATCCTACTGTCCTCCCGTCCTCATGTCCTCCCATCCTCATGTCCTTACGTCCTCCTGTCCTCACGTCCTCACATCCTCGAGTCCTCATGTCCACCTGTCCTCCCGTCCTCCTGTCCTCCTGTCCTCCCGTCCTCCTGTCATCCTGTCTCCTTCAGCAGTAGAACCAGGTTCTGTGTTGTTGCTCAGCATGTTGTCATTAATCAGTGATCTTGCAGCAGCTGTAGTAAACTCAGCTGATGCTTCCTGCTGGAGCGTCGTCGTGTCTCGTCTTATTAAAGGATGTGAGCAGATGATGTGTTTGTAATCACACCTGTCTCCCTCCCTCCCTCCCGTCTCTCTGCTTCAGAAACACTGCGACAGGCAGAAAGCCAACCTGAGGATTCGCTTCAAACCGTCTCTCTTCCAACACGTCGGCACTCACTCGTCCTTGGCTGGAAAAATACAGAAACTCAAGGTAACGAAGCCGTGAGTCATTTTCTGACACTCAACATCAGCCAGTAGCTGAAACATTAATATTTATATTCTTCGGTCACTTTTTATGTTGAATTTCAAAACATCTTCATTTTACTTTATTACTTCTTTGTTTGTAACTTTTTGTTAAATTTATTTACTGTTATTTTACAGAACAATAGGACAAAGGACCACATACTCTATAAAATAAATAAAACTTAAATAAAAATAGAATAATAATAATAAAAATAGCAGTGTCTGTTATAGAATATAACAATGACATTTTCACTGTCAGTCCATTATAACAACACAATTTTGTCACAACAATCCGCCTCTTACTTTATAACTTTAGAATAAAAATATTTTATATTTTACATGAGTACTCGTATTTTCACAGGACTCTTACTGCGTTTCACTTTTTCAACATGAAATCTAGAACTGTGTAGAATAGAGAAAAACCAAAACGTTAATATGATCAGGGATTGTGATGCTAAGCAAGAGCAGTGTGCAGGATATTCCTCTTTACGACATGAAATCTAAACATCTGTTACAGTAGATCAATAATTCGTCTAAAATGCATCATAATTTATAAATTGAGTGAATTTTTTTTTTAAACAAAATGACAATATAATTATATATAAATATGATTATATATAATAATTTGAATCATTTACTTTTCACTAAAGGCTTTTGAACTGTTGACTTTTAGGGAGTTAAAATCTTCTGTTTTGAACATCCGTTTACTTCCTGTTTCTTTTTTCTTATTGAACCATCTTTATTAAGACATATTGAGTCACTTACAAATATAAACAAACCTCACAAACAAGTCTCCTGTTTTATCGCCCATCATAGTCTTTCTTGTATCCTGTATCATGTATCAAATATATCAGAAAATAAATCAATATCATAACATATATATATATATAGAAGGAAAACAGGAAAGTTTAAAAGTGGCACAGAGATAAAGATAAATAAAAATGATATAATACATGAATAAACATAATAAAAAGATTTCAGTATACACCGATTTCTTGTGATGAATATCTGATGAAGACAGAAGTGCATGGGGGAGATTTACACAATTTGAAAAAACAAATGTTGATGTGTGTGTGTGAGATGTAAGAGTTTGATGGGTGTATGTTGTGAATTATCTTATATTCATCAGGAGCACCTGCTTAGTGTTACGTCAGTTATGTGGCATATTTATTTTTATATTTAGTATAAAGTTCCTCTTCTCTGAGCAGCAGAGCGACGTCATTGGTTGTCTGTCAGTATGCTGCTGTAGAGTTTAGATAGTTTGAAACAGGGCGCGGTTCAGCTGAAGTTCAGTGCAGCGTCTCTGGAGAGATGAAGATTGAAAGCCTCTGCAGCTGTGGGCTCAGCGCAGCGTTTAGACTCGGGCTGCAGTATCTCACAGCGGTGGCAGCTTCGCTTCCTGCCAGCAGCTCAGAGCTGAACGCTTCAGCTTAATGCCTCTGATTACTGTGTTAAGAGCGATGGATATTAGCCCCGCTGACTGCTGCTGCAATCTGGACCAATCAATTGGATATTGATCCGTAGTCCCAGACCTGCAGCTCCTCAGTGTGGAGATTGAACCGTAGAGGCCGGTCAGCATGGGGGTGTGTAGATGGAGGCTAAACACAGCTATTACCCTCCAGCCTGAAATGTTCACCGCAGTTTAGTAAGAAAATCAGCGCCGAGGTTTAAAAATCAAACTTAAATTGAAAGAACCAAAGTGGAAGTGGGATTTATTCGTCTGTGGAGAGTTAAGTCGAGAGATTTGTTCTGATGCGAGAGAAACTGCTGTGGAAAAGTCCAAATAATCATTGGAGTGAAAATGACAAAGTTTGTGAATTAAAAAAGAAACTTTGTCATCCTGAGTCTGGTTCACAACTTTCTGACAAACAAACAAAGATTTACAGTAATAATTCAACATTTGGGGAAATTGATTGATACCACACTGAATATGAAGTTACAGCCTGCAGCTGGTTAGCTTAGCAACCAAACCAACCAACCCCCTTCATATATATGTACACTAAGAAAAAAAAACTTTCATGAAAAAGAATTTAATGCAGCGGAAGTGTTTTTGTCTTCTTATTCCCCAATCTTGTTAATCGTCTTGTGACCCTTGACTCATTTTCAAAACTGTTACACCAGCATATTGGTTTTCTTTGTTCAAAAATCTCTTAGATATTAGGATTAGGTTGTGAATCTAACAATATTCCTTGTTTTGTTTTGAAGAATAGATTGAAACATTGCTACATTTTGGACTGAAAGTGCAGAAGTCAGATTTGTATTTATATTTTTATATAACTTGCTCATAAATTCGGGAAAGGAAAGTGTTCGAGATGAATTCAGGTGAATTTAGTAGTTCGATCTCCACCAGCTGTAACATTGAAATGCTGTTAACACTTTAAAGCATCAGGAACAAATAATATGGCAAAAGTACTTTTACGTTGATGCTGTAAGAACATTTTTCTGTTAGTACTTTTGTATAATCAAGAGTATTTATACAGAGCCGTAATATTAGTTTTACTTAGGTAAAAGATATGACGCCGAAAACATTACAAAACATTCCTGTCGTGGTTGAAAGAAACAGTGACTGTTGGTCAGAGACAGAATTTAAACTGGGCTTCATGTTAAAATCACATTTTATTTATTCGTCCGTCCTGACGACCTCGTCCATAACAACATCACAACACATCTATAAGTAGTCGTAATCACTGCCATGGAAAACTTAAAATGTTGTATCTAGTGACTTGTAAATGTAATAGACACCCAATACTGTCATTGTTTCTGGTGAGGACAGTTTGAAAATAAGCCGTTTGTATTTGATGATTCCCAAAGGCGACCTAAACAAACATGATCACTTAAATGTTCAGTTCACTCCTAAGGACCCTGGATTGTCTACCTGGGATTAATACCTGTTGATGTATAGAAAAGACGGACACCTGTCTCTTTCAAATCTTGATACTTGCAAGTAAAAAGGTCATCACAAGGAACTGGTTTCAACTGGACCAACTAAGATTGAGACAATGGCTGGACATTGTAGAGGAAATATACTCAATGGAAAAACTGACTTTTCACCTGAGAGCTAGAGCAGGGACCTTCCAACAAAAATGGAAATGGACTTCATTCAAGGACAGATTCCAATCTTATTTTAGACTTGAAGGAAAAAGGAAAAAACGGCTGAATACAAATAGAGCAGCACCTCCCCTCCTTCTTTTTGTTTCTTGTTTCGTGTTGTTTTGTTCGTGACTTGTAATGAATGTTTGAAAACTGCTTAAATAAAAAGTATTTAAAAAAGTCAAGTTCAAGGTTCAAAACTATTTCACTCCTGGTGATCTCCACCTGGATCAATCACTGGAAACCCCCCTGCTGTATTCCAAGTTTAGAGACTTGCAGTTGTCACTCAGTGATGTTGCTGTATGTGCGTATCAAAACAAAGTGCATCAGAATAACATTAATGATGTCACTGGATTAGTCATCGAGGACAGCGAGCGAAGCAGGAAGTGATACCAGTCTGTTGGCGGTCTAGAATGACTAATCGTTTACATTATCTTCTGGTCAGTGCACAGTGATGTCATCTTTATATTTCTGTTGACTCTCCAGAGACACTGACATGCAGGCAACAAGAACACAATAAAACCCAGCTCCCTGATGTTGGAATCCACTTCTCATTATTTGGAATCAGGGTAAAATCCACTGGGAACAATTTAAACTCAGTCATGTTTCTTTCCAGGACAAGGACTTTGGGAAACAGACCCTCCATAAGGGTCACGCCAACCCGCTGGCAGAGGTGACGACCAGCCTGAAGACCTACCAGCACTTCACCCTGGAGAAAGCCTACCTGGGGGAGGACTTCTTCTGGGCCTTCACCCCTGTAGCGGGGGATTTCATACGGATACGATTCTTCACACCTGTCCGCATTGAGAGGTTGGTACCAGGGAGCTACAGGGTCTAAGGTCTAAAGTTATGAAGAGTTACAGTACCAATAGATCCCAGGACATTACCGGTTCCTGGGGCCAACAGACTTTAAAGGATATGAAGGGTTCCAGAGAGTATCAGGTTACTGCAAGGTACTAAGGAGCTACTAGGAGGTTGCATGGTCTCAAGGATACCAGGGGACACTATAGATTTTTAAGTGTGAGGGGTACTAGAAAAGACCAGGGTGCTTCAGGGTAGTTGGTGGTACTAGTGGGTTACACTTGTCAGGGACAGCAAGGGTCACTGATGGTTTGATGGGGGCAGAAGATACTAGGGACTGGGGGGTTGCCAGAGTTAAGTAGGAGTTACAAGGTCTCAGGGTTATTGCCAGGTCCAGGTCAGATACCTGAACAGGTCACACCATGACACAAGGAATTTACAGATACAGGATCTATGGTTACCAGGAGTTATAGGTGTGAGGGGTACCAGAGGATACCAGTGTGATACAAGGTACCGGGTCATTACATCTCTCAGGAGCAGCAAAGGATACAAAGGTTACAGGGTGTGAAGTGTGCCAAAGCATGCCAGGGCATTACATGGACACTTTGGTACCAATGGGTACTAGGGATCATCGGTTACAGGGTCAGGTATCTCAAATTAGGCATCACAGGGCCACATAATCAGACTTTTTGACCAGTGATAGTTCTGGTTGTGGAGCCAGGTCCAGGAAAGTATATGTTTTTGATGGTACTACTACTTGTACCTCTGTTACAACCACTGCTGCTACTGTAAAGATCATTTCTGTCAGTCTACACTGAACTGACTCTTTATCTTCCAGGTATTTCTTTCGGAGCGGAAACATCGAACATCCAGGAGACAAACTTTTCAACACGTCAGTGGAGGTTCTGCCGTTTGACGTGAGTCTTGGAATCCACTTCAGTCCAGTCACTGAATCTTTGTGTAATCAATCACAAAGCTTAGGTTTTGTTTCTGTAGTTTTGTCCATGATTTCTATCAGTTCTATCAGTTATATCTAAGAAGTTGTACCCACCCAGTTAAAAACTGAGAAATGGGAACATGGTGACCTTCCTAAAAAGAAATAACAATCAGAAAAGTTTGAAACAAACAAAAGCTTTGACAAATTTTTGGTAAACTGTAAATATTTTTCTCAAACATCCATCACAGCTTACAGACGCATTTATATCTTCAACCGCTTTCTGTAGTTGTGTTCACAGTTTTTTCTGTACAATGATTGATTATTACCAACATGCAGGGTCCTCACTTTGAGTTTGATCTCTATGTGAGTGATTTAGATCATCTGGATAAACAACCTGTACAACCCTTCCACCTAACCCACGCATGGTCCTGCCCTATCTAACTGTTTTATTGATGTTTTCATGTACCCAGGTCTCAGCACTCGACCTTGTAAGTCAAGGAATTGATGGACAAAACTACAAAATTAAGAATTAAGTTAAAAATATGCAAAATTGTCCCTAAAATTCAGTTTAATCTTTAACAACAGACGGGATGTATACAGCCTCTGTATCTTCCTACTTTAACATCCACTGAAAACAACTCTGTCTGAAACAGAGTACCTCTGTTGCCTAAACCAGTGGTTCTCAAACGTTTTCACATCAAATACCATAAACCAACACAAAATAGACCACAGACCCCCATCTGATTTCATTTTTGCTTCTAGATGTTTTATTACAGAAAGTGTTTGAAACCCACGACCAAACACATTTTGTCACTGTGTTACTTGTGGATGGAAATATTGTGAAAATAAATTACCCAAGACCCCCAGAAACCCCCTCAACTTTGTGAACCACTGGCCTACACCACAGACGGGTCTCTGGAGTCACAGTCCTGAGCTTTGTACATCTTCCATCCACCAGAACCACCTCCTGGAGACTTAAAAATACATTCCCTCTTAACTTCATCCAGCCCTGGACGGCATTACCTACAGAACGTATTTACTGTGCAGTTTAGTTGTATGGAAATGTAAGTTCTAGTTTAATATTACTGAGAACAGACTCAGTTTGTGGTCCCTCGAAATCGAGGCAGAGTGATGGATCACTGTCTTTGGCTCCTCTGTCATCGACTGTAAGACGAGGGCTGATTAAGATGGAGTGTCGCAGCAGGACGGAGGGAAATATACAGAGAGGAAGAGGAGCTCCTACTGAGATCAACCTCAGTGGAGGAGAGAGCAGGAATAAAATGAGACGAAAAATGAACCGACTCTTTGAGGAAGCTGAGCACACAGGGGGATAGAGGGAGGACCGGGAGGTTGGAGGCGGTTACCAGGGTAACACTGACCAAGAGGAGAGGGATATGATAGCAAGGGCTCGTGGGAAAGGAGCATGTGGAAGATACAGTAAACAGGAGAAACTCTGAAGATTTTCAGTCATCCAGCTCATTGTATTTCTAAGAGCTTTGTAAAGGCAGCTGCTCCAGGTCCAGGTCCGGGTCCAGGTCCAGGTCCAGACATTTAACCTCATATGGAGTCGTTAACACCTGAGTGGGTATTAAACCGCCTGGGGACAAACATCTTAACACCCATTCAAACAGAGCATTATACATTAATATAGTAACAGATAAATTTAATAAAACATTTCAGAAATCAGAGTCTGTATTCACTGTGTGACGATCTAGAACCATTGTGGAACCAAGACTTAAGGAGAACTTCTATCAGTTAAAGATGGAGGGAGTGCTGGAACTTAACGAGATATTACAGTGAATGAAAATGTGTTGGAGATAATATAAAATAAGGTACAGAATCTACAGAGATACTGGGGGTGAAATTTCATTTGTATACTTCAACATATATTACTATATAGATTACTATTATATCAACAACTGTATTTAAGATACATAGGCGGGGCTTGGTGACTGCTTTGTTGTGACATCACAAAGTTCCAGAAGTCCTGACGGCTGGTTTTAAGGCTCAGTTTCTGAATACAGGCTGTGTGCATTTCTCTGTGGACTGAGGCTTTGATACTTTCACAGTATTAATATAGAAGCTAGAGCTGATCTATAATCACACTACACATGGACACAGACCTTTACACTGGAGGAGCTTTAAGTTGATCAGATTTGAAGCCGGTTTATTGTCGTAATAATAACTGATAATAAGATTTTAACAAACATTTTTCATCAAGGACCCAATGTTTTCCTTCTTGCAACCATTTTCTGCCACATATGCTTCTATAAAAACAGTCTGTGTGTGTGTGTGTGTGTGTGTGTGTGTGTGTGTGTGTGTGTGTGTGTGTGTGTGTGTGTGTGTGTGTGTGTGTGTGTGTGTGTGTTTCAGAATATTCAGGCAGAGAAAGAGGCCTTGACAGAGGGGAGGGAGAAAACGCCAAAGTACCACCGGACAGAAGACGGATTTATCAGAATAGGTGAGACGCTGCAGGTGTGATGATGATTATTACACGTACACGGGTAGAGACAACAGCTGATAACGGTGAATTAGCTTCACACAGTCTGGTGTGTGCGTCATAACGAGCTTAATGAGCTGTGTGTTCACAGAGAGGAAAGTTATTCAGGACAACATTCCTCTGCTTTTGTTCTCCTGCTGCAGCGAGGACACACACACACACACACACACACACACACACACACACACACACACAGCATCATGAGTGTACGGGGGGTAATTAGGGTCAATTCACACAAATGCAGGCGAGTGTGTGTGTGTGTGTGTGTGTGTGTGTGTGTGTGTGTGCGCGCACCAAAAGTGCAAACGCACACAAATGCACATGTTTTTGTATGAAATGACTCACACACTCATGTTTGTACTTGTACATTTTTGACACAGTCCACCGCTCCTCACGCCAACGAAACCCAATCCTGATTCTTTTCACCTTCAGACACTTTGAAGAGACATGGACCAGAACAAATCCTCTTTCACACACACACACACACACACACACACACACACACACACACACACACACACACACACACACACACACACACACACACACACACTGAGGGCAGCTCTGTGTGAAGGGATTTGTGGGACACTTACAAGTTTGGCCGGTGACGTAAAGTTCACAGGTTTGGGAACAAGCTCATAGTATTTTATGACAGTTACATAAGCAGTAATAACAGCAGCAGCAGGTCAACAGCAGTGGAGTTGTAGAAGTGTGACAGCTGCTTTTGACCTGTCTCACCTGTTGAGTGAATCACCTGCAGCTCAGATCAAAGGTACAAACAGACAATAAAGCAGCAGCTGAACACAGACTGATCACAGCTGACTGATGAAGAGCCTCCAGATTTATGAATAAATGAAGGAGGGAAAGTGTCACAACAGAAATGAAATAAATGAGAAACAAATCCATCAGATACATAAAAACAAGCACACGTGATAAATGAATGTCATGTTGCTGATTTGATCCGTTGGTGCGGCGTCAGGCTTTAGTTGCTCATCAGCAGAATGTGGGATTTATTCTTTCATTAGGAGAATTTATTTCTGCAGGATTTACTGTAACCTTCAGTGGATGGATGGAGGCGTCCTGACCCGGTGACTCTCTCTGTCCCAGAGATACAGCGACATACGGCCAACAGCAAGTCACTCAGAAAATACTGAGTCTGAGCTTCAGGTGTCAGAAACACTCCTTCATGAAGTGTTTGGTTTATTTCTCATGCAGCTCCGCTTTAAGAGTCGAAAATGAATGAAACGTAAATATCTAAATAATGACCAGAGATGAATATCATAATTTTGACCTGTGTGTTTTGGTTTCGTAATTTCATCTTGTTTTGTTCTATTACATCTGATTTATATTTATTTGAATCTTATTTCCCTTTAATGCAGACGCGTCTTTATCGTCTTTCATTTCTCTAAATTAAATCTAATTTTCTTTGGGTACATCAACATATGATGTGATTTAATTTCATACATATCACCGAACACACATCCATGTTCACCTCTTCACCTGTGTGGACTGACTGGGAATAATCCAGTTTAATCTGGATCCTGGACCGAGGCCTGAGGTCCTGGTTCAGGTTTTTGTTGTTGAACACAACAGAGTAAAAACACGAAGCCTCTGGTTTCCTGTGTTCACTTCACCTCCTGTCCTCCATCTTTTCTCTGTGAACTCTCATCTCCATCTGTCCTCCACAAAAACAAACAAACAAACAAACAAACAAAAACATAATTGTGTGTCTGTGTCTGAATCTTCCTGGAGAAACTGGAGGGCAGACAGCTGTGCAGGGAGGAGTGTGACTCTGACCTGACATCATAAATTACCAGCAGCTCTTTATCCCCCTCATTAATATTTCAGATGAGTCGGCCGATCAATGTGGCCGCCTTTCCTTCACTTCATCTCAGCGTGCTGCCTTCACATGTAGAGAGGAACGCCGGACATCTCAGCGTCCGAGAACTAAACGCACCTTAAACTAGAATCTGAGGGATTCAGGACTGAACTACTTGGGAGGGGACAACAGAGAGGATGATGATGATGATGATGGTGATGATGGTGATTGTGATGATGATGGTAGGACGGTTGGTTGGTTGGTTGGTTGGTTGGTAGGACAGATGATTGGTTGGTTGGTTGGTTGGTTGGTTGGTTGGTTGGTTGGTTGGTTGGTTGGTAGGACAGATGATTGGTTGGTTTGTTGGTTGGTTGGTTGGTAGGACAGATGATTGGTTAGTTGGTTGGTTAGTTTGTTGATTGGTTGGTTGGTTGGTTGGTTGGTAGGACAGATGATTGGTTGGTTAGTTGGTTGGTTGGTTGGTTGGTTGGTTGGTTGGTTGGTTGGTTGGTTGGTTGGTTGGTTGGGATGGGATGGAAACACCTCTCAGCTTCTATCAGATGGATTACCTTTAAATTTGGATCAGATGTTCGCATTCGTCAGAGGAGCTGGTTGGTCTCCAAAAATAGAAAATATATAAATTTCATATTTTTTATTTTCTTTGTGATATTTTAGAGGAAACCTGGTTGCCTGGTTTGCTTGGATACTGGCCAAAGTGGCAGATCCTTGTCCTGCGAGCAGAAAGATGAAGCTGGTGAAGCTGAGAGATGCTGTTTGGTTAAATATATAAAAACTCATCTTTTTATGTCTCATTCTTTAAGTCCCTGTTCTCTTTTTCAATATTTACTCAAAACCAACGACTTTCTGGAAGCGACTGTATTAAGTTGCATTAACAGAATCATTCATCGTGCTCCAGTTGGGAAATCAGTTTGCTCATGACCAGTCTTCTGCCATCTGATGATAAAAGCTGGTTGCTTTTAACCATGAAGATGATCTTTTCCTAACATTAAGAAACTAGTACTTAAACCATCTAGTTGGTGGATCAGTGAATGAGAACAGTCACATAGATCATTTTGGAGGGTCACGTTTTCTGTGTTTTGTATTGTGTGTGTTGCCTCCTTTATCTCCTCATTAGGAAATAATTTAAATATTAGTCAGGGTGGTGCCTGCCTTGTTTTGAACCTGTAACTGTTCACTAAAGATAGAATAAAAAAATAGCTGCAGTTTGCTCAGACAGAGCCTCAGAGTCTGATTTGTCTGTTTCAGTTTTGTTGTTAAACCTCTGGGTTTTTTATTTTCTTGCTTCTCTCTGCGTGATCTGTTTCTCAGAAAGCCTCTCAAACAGCAGTACATGTGGCTGGATATTGAATGAGAGCCATAATACCCACAATAATAACAGATAATACCCTGTGATAAACAATAACACACACACCCCCCAGTCGCTGCTCTTTGTTGGGATTACGGTCACACTCGTACCTGGAAGCATCACAGCCAGCACCATAATCCCACTAAATAAATCCTCCCAGGGATTATTGCTCTGTTGAGGTGCAGCCGAACACTGGTGGGACACTGCATCACATCTGATGGAGCCAAATGCAACAGTAACACAAAAAAACACCACATTTGTTTCTGACAGTCGACTCTGGTACAGACAGAAAACCACCACAGAACCACAGGGGTCAGTTAATGGACTCTGGGTGAATGTAATGGAACCTTTTACAACCCTGTAAATCTGCAGAAAAAACATTAAATCCCTTAATTACTGGAGCCTCCATCTGCAAATGAAAAAAATAAATTATTAACTTTGAGTAAATCCCTTAAAAACCTGTGATACTGAAGGTTAATGTTTTAAGATGAAGGGATTGTTTTGATTTAATGGACAAATTACAGTGTGATGAGGCAAATAATGTCATTTTTCATCTTCCTGAAAACTTAAAGCTCCATATTTTCTTCTCCTGTGTTTTATTTGAAGTGTTGACCCATAAGAAGATTTATTGTGGTTTTAAGAAACAAAAACCATCTCAGTGTAGTTTTACATCTCCTCTCTCAGAGAAACCAAATCCTGCAAGGTTTGGATGGTGGGTCCAGGTGGGCGGGGCTTGGTGACTGCTTTGTTGTGACATCACAAAGTTCCAGAAGTCCTGACGGCTGGTTTTAAGGCTCAGTTTCTGAATACAGGCTGTGTGCATTTCTCTGTGGACTGAGGCTTTGATACTTTCACAGTATTAATATAGAAGCTAGAGCTGATCTATAATCACACTACACATGGACACAGACCTTTACACTGGAGGAGCTTTAAGTTGATTTTACTTGATAATAAAGCTGAATTTATTCAAATTAAATGAATAACTTTCTTATCAAACAGTGATAAACATTAATGAAATAAACAAATAAAATAAAGGTAGGTAGTTTTCACATTTATGCGAACATTAAGACTTGTCAAATGACTCCTTCCTTACTTTTGTGTTGTACTGCTCCATTTGTTTTGTTTTACAGTTTCAGTTTTTCTTTACTCATGAATAGCAACCAGAGACCAAACTAAAACAAATATTTATTGTGCAGTGCAACTTGTTTTCATGTGGAAATAAAGCTCTGAATCTTGAGTCTTCTCCTGCATCGAGTTCGTCTTTAAAATAGTTCTTGTTAAATCAGATTTTTGTTTCGGATCCTTTTTATCTATTTTCACAAAAAACGTAAAAATCTATTCTTATCCAAAACAATAAATTCCAGCTCTTCCCCTCCAAAAAACTGTGAATGTTACAGATTCATGACACAGCATCAGGTTATTGATCTGATCGATCTTTTCTTCTTCCAGGAACATTCCAGAACGGGATCGCAGAGGGGGAGGTGGACCCCACATTTGGCCCCCTGGAGGCCATGCGTCTCTCAGTGCTGACGGACTCTCCGGTCTGGGTGATCCTCAGCGAGGTGAGACTGCACGGACAGATCCACCACAGCTCCTGTTTTTATGTGTCAGGAAAGTTCACATAAGAGCTTCCTCGAGGGGTTTTCCAAGGTCTTAAAGAGGCCCAAGGGGTGTTTTGAAGAGGTTCCAGGTGCTTTGGAAAAGGATAAAGCTGTTACAGTTTCAGGAGTTCCCCCGGGCCTTGATGATGTCTGAGCACTGAAGGATGCTGGTTCTTGACAGTTGTTACTTGGGTCCTGGGTTGGGTTCTGAAGGTCCCTGAAAAGGTTCCTTTTGTTGTACTCCCAGGATATCAACGTTCTGTTTCCTCATCTCACTGAGAACAGACCTCTACTGAAGGTGTTCGATGTCCCATTCATGTTCTCGGACGGTTCTTGGTTTTCGGCCCCAGTAGATTCTCTTACGCACCCAGACCTCCATCAGGAGTCCCCGGGGCGTACAGCCAGTTCAGCCGGTCCCGATCTACTGAGGACCAAGTGTTTGACACCAGCTCTTTGTAGTCAAGGTTTTTTAGGAGCCTCTTCACCACAACAAGAGGAGTGAGAGGTTTTCATTGACCCTGGTGGTTTAGGACTTTTGACCACCCTATCCCTGGTTTGAGTCCAGCAGGGGACCTTAGTTTCATGTCATTCCCTCAGACCACAAAGCTGGACTGTGGGCTACGAATGTTTGAATGTGAACTCCTGACCTCTGACCTCTGACCTCTTTGAAAGTTGGTGTGGAGAAAGTTTCTGTCTAACTGAATTAGTCTGGGCTGCGTGGAGGATTTCAGCGTCATGTGATGGTCGAAATGTAGTTCAGAGAAAAGCAGAACACACACATTTCTATACATTCATGAAATATCTGGATCAATTTTCAGGAATCCATACATGTCAAATCACCAGTAACAACCAGTATGAACCAAGACCCAGTAACAACCAGTATGAACCAGGACCCGGTCTGTTTAATGGCATTAAATGGAAATACTCAGACAAATATAAGTACCTCAAAAAGAACAGCAATGAGGTAAATGTACTTTCCACCGCTGGTGAAACAAATTCATACTGGTTGTTACTGGGTTTTGGTTCATACTGGTTGTTACTGGGTTTTGGTTCATACTGGTTGTTACCGGGTTTTGGTTCATACTGGTTGTTACTGGGTTTTGGTTCATACTGGTTGTTACTGGGTTTTGGTTCATACTGGTTGTTACTGGGTTTTGGTTCATACTGGTTGTTACTGGGTCTTGGTTCATACTGGCTTCTGGTTTGTCTCCTGTCTCAGATCTTCATAACGGGTTTTGGTTCATACTGGTTGTTACCGGGTTCTGGTTCATACTGGTTGTTACTGGGTCTTGGTTCATACTGGCTTCTGGTTTGTCTCCTGTCTCAGATCTTCATAAAGAAAGCAGAGTGAGGCTCCGCCCCCCCAGTGATACCTCAGCACCTCTGAGCGGTCAGCCGAGCCGACCCGACGCTCGTCAGCTGCCGTCCTGCTCCAGTCCTGCTCACCAGATCCCCACCACGGTGCCACAGCGCCGCCGTGTGGCCGGACCTCACCACCGCAGGCTGAACAGACCAGAGACTGGAAACACAGAAACACACTCACAGACAGACAGACAGACGACTGATGATGATGATGATGATGATGACAGGCCTCCTGATGAAGCTGTAATTACTCCTGAAGAACCTGTATTTAATGTACATACAGTAGATTAATGTTGAAACACTGGTAACGAGCGAGGCGGAGGCGGGAGCGACACACTGATGATGATCAAACTGCTGCTTCGAAACTCAAAGGCCTCTTTCTATCTGACGGTCTGTCCGGACCTTTCTACCAACACTACCCCACCCCCCACCCCCCAGTATACCCCTCAGTAACCATGTATGTGCATATATGCATAGAGATGTACACACTCTCATATGAATGCCTCAGTGTGTCGATGTGTCTGTAGTTGCTGCTCGGGGTTCAGTCTCACGTTTCCCTCCGGCGGTCAGCGATTTGCCTTAAAGACGAAGAGCAGGTCTTCAAACTGAACCCGGACTGAAGATGTAGCGACACCCAAGATCCGGATCCTCAGACCCTCAGACCCTCAGACCCTCAGACCCTCAGACCCTCAGATCCTCAGATCCACATCCATGTGGCTTCAAACTCCTGATGACGACAGCTGGTGTTTTACTTTTTTCAAGTTGCTTTATTTAACTGAGGCCTTGTTCTGTGTTTGAATTCACTCTACTCTATTTTACTGTACTCTACTGTGCAGTACTCCACTGTACTCTGATGTACAGTACCCTGGTATATTCTACAGTACTGTAATTTCCTCTGTTGTACTTTATCGTGCTGTAGTTTTCCATTGAAAACACTGATCCATGTTTTCTTTCTCTCATTAATAACAACTAATTAATGATAAGAAATGATAAGTTCTTCCACCAGTTGAATGTCTCTGTAAAGCAGCTTCTCCCTCAGATTAAATGACTGAAGTTTGCCCTTTTAACACTCCTCGATGTTTCACTGACTGGATTTAATTATTTGATTCAGACCTTGGATACAGAGACGGGTATAAATCGAGCTCTGGCTGTTGCCCCTGGGGCAGAAATCAGCAGGGTGTCAAGATGCAGAAGCTGGTTTAACAGTTGGCTTTGCTCTGAGCTTCAGTGATTTCAACCAGGGTGAGATCAACCTGTTGTGACGCCTCAGGGCAAATACCAAGTCATTTGTAGGAACAAAATAAATCTGAGGGAGAAATTTATCAAAGTTTTTCCTCCAACAACGACAACGACTTATTCTTCAGACTCATTAAGATGCAGCCCCCCACCCCCACCCGTCCAAACTTGCGTCTTCATTCATTCACATGGGGATAGAAATGGAAACCAGACCGAGCAGAACTTCAGTTTTTCAGATTTGAAGTGAACTGAGTGTCTTCGAGCTTCAGGAAACATCCCGAGGTTTGTTTGTTTTTTTCTTTGTAAGATGCACTGGAATGCATTACTATAATCTTGTGTTTGTCTTTTGTATCCTTTAGATAAACTCTATTTAAAAGATCTCAAACTTCTATCCAATCTGTGAATTGTAATAAAGACAGAAATTTAAATGAAGCTTTGCTGTGAGGTTGTTTTGAGTCTGTGGTGAGCTGGTGGATTTCACACTGTTGACTCTGAAGATCTCGGGTGGGGGGGTGGGGGGGTTTTGGGGGGTTTTGGGGGGCTGAGGGCAGATTTCTGGAAATGTCATCAGGTTTCATCAAAGAAGGTGACGACACCCCGACATCACTCTCTGGTCTGTGGTGAGACACTGATGAAGAACAGGACTGTGAAGTCGGAAGTTTTTCATTCCAGGCTGAAAGTTGAAGTTGAGTTCATTTCCACTTACACCTGGAAATAGGTGAGGTGACAGGAAGTACAAGTGACCCCCCCCCAAAAAAGTGACATTTTACTCTGATCTTCAGCTTCACAATAAAAGTCTCCAACTTCAACCAACACAACAATTACAAGTACACAGTTCTGGAGTATTTAGATCCACCAATACAGTAAAAAATACTCAATTACAGGTAAAAGTACTGCATGAAAAATCCTACTTAAGTAAAAGTACATAAGCAAAATGATGTAAAATGAGATTATTATACAGTACATGATATTATGACATGAACTGATGTGTTGATGCTTCAGCAGCGTGTTAATGTTGTAGCTGTTGGTTTTAACTATGTTATATACAGTTGGCTGGTTCACTGGTTCCCAACACAGGGGTCGGGCTCCTCCAAAGGGTCACCAGGTAAATCTGAGGGGTCGTCAGGATTCATGGGCGAGGAAAGAAGAAAAAACTAAGTTGTGAGTCACTGATCTGTTTTCCAACTTTTCTCTGATCTTTGATTTTTTTGTGAATATATCTAAGATATATGAATATATATCATGTTCATGTTTTACAAACATAAAACATTAACATGTACATGTACCCAGAATCACACAGCATAATTAGGCATCACATCAATCCATCCTATTTGACATCTGTTGGTTTAGTATTATTAGTATATCTCAGACTTAGGCACTGAAATAACCTCAATTCATCCAACACGCAACTGTCCAATGCAGGTGTCCATTTAATGTTGAAGACATCAGTCCTGTGTGTCTGAGAGTTTTGATCTCAAATAAAGTTTAACCCATAGACATCTGAAATGTGAAAAGAAGCTCCAAGTCGTTCACATTATTCATTCATTCATATATTCATGTTTGTTTTATGTGTAAAATCTTATCTAAAGAATAATTAGTAACTACAGCAATGAAAAAATGAGATCTCAGAGATGTAGTGAAGGAGACATATAAAGTAACTGGAAATACTCAAGAAGTAGAAGAAGAAGTATTTGATAATATTACTTGAGTACTTTGTTACGTTCCTGCAAGTAAAACCAAAAAAGTACAAGTACATATAAATTACTGTAACAATTAGCATGTCACCGAGCAGGTAAATGTCTGTGACTGTGTCCAAATAGTAAGTTTAAAGTGACTTAATTGAAATGTTCAGGAGTGAATTTAGTGTTGACGAGGTTAAAAGCAGCGTTCAGGTTCATCACAGTGAATCATGGAATAACAGCAGCTTGTTGAGGTGACGCTCACGTGGATGAAGATCACATGATCCTCGATCACAGAATGAACAGATTTTACATTTGTCAGGGACTATTGTCAGCGGTGGATTAATTCACATTTGGTGCTTTAGAGGGAGGGCAGCATGGCAGTGTATGTGTAGATTGTCATTCAGGATCCATATGTTTATGTTTTAAATTAAATGATGTGAAATATTTTTATATTTATATAAATCCATCATATAAATGGAGCAAAACACTAAACTGTATTAAACTGACTCACCAGTAACAAGTAAAAGTAGCTATCAGGTGAACAAAATGAAAATACATTAATTAAAGCTCTAGTTAATTACACTAGTTGAATAAACAGTTAATTTGAATAAACAAATAAAGGTTTCCTCATGTGAAATTCACAAAACAAATATATAAAATAAGATATGTTCCAATTATTTTCTTCTTCATAATTCTTCATATAAACAGCACATTATGAGAACACTATTCATTGTACCTGCTGTTATTAAAATAAAATCAGTTACAATCCGTTTTCACCAGCCTTACTACAGCCAATCAGCGCACAGTACCTCCTGACACCTCGACCAATCATCGCTGTCCACGAGGTTCAGCTCCAGGGGGCGGGCACTCTCCGGTTCGACTGAGATTTCCTCTCGGCCAATCAGCTCCTGACAGTTGACAGGAAACGTCAAACATTCGCTCTTGGCGACCAATCAGCGTCGGGGATCGGCGGGTTCAGCCTCCCATTATCCCACGTGATCCTCCTCAGCAGTTCCCAGGCGGTCAGATCGGAGAGCCGGAGGTGAGTAAAGAGACCGATAAATGTCACTTTTTACCGGGGAACACGGGCGGAGAGCGCCCGTTTCTGGGGAATGCGGGTTTATTTATACTGTCCGTACTTTAATTATTTAGATAATGTCCGTTTTAGCCGTTAAAAATAAAGCTACGTGCCTCCTGCATGCTGTTAGCACTGCGCTGAGTGGCTAACTGAAGCTAATTAACCACAGGTGAATTCAGCTAGCCAGTTAGCCCGCTGTGGCCTGTTATAACACTTCATTTACTCACACGTTAAAAATGAAACTATACTTGTTCACATGACTTACTGTGTCTGACAGAAACTCCGGTTGTGTTTTCTGTGAGAAAGCTGAAGTTAACTCGTCCCAGCCCCTCCACTGGCAGTGTTTCGTCATAGCATCGCAGCTAAGCTAAGCTAAGATAGCTGAATCAGCCGTGTGTGTAAGGAAGGGGGGTTGTTTTCATATCGGGACACTTTAAAGAGCTTAATGAACTGATGAAGAATATGATTTGCAGTTGACATGTTAAAACGGGGCTTTGTAAAGGACTAACTGTTAAAATATAATGAATGAGTGTGTGTCAGGGGTCAGTTAGCATGCCAACGTCATTAGTCCTGCATTTGTACAACCAAATATTAAGCTACTTAAATGTTTATTGAAAATTGTAGTGAATAACCTGAAATATTCAAATATATCTGCCCATCATCTTACACAGATATGGGTTAAAAGCTGCGGGTCTGCAACCAGTGAAGGAAGAAACATTCACATCACTTAGGTGAAAGTGGGAACACCACACTGTGATTATATTCCACTACAGGTGGAGAAAATGTATGTGAGCTTTATATTAAAGTAGGGCTGCAACTTAATCTCATTATTGGTCTATAAAATGTCATGAAAAGTCGATGTTATAATTCAGGATGAGGTATTTTGATGTCTTATTTTTGTTTCATTAATAGTCCAAAAGTCAAAGATTATCATTTTATTATCATATATGACACAGGAAAAACTATAAGTTATCACATTTGCGAGTCTGGAACCAGCATGTTTGGCATTTTTGCTTAAAAAAGGACAATGGTAAAATATTGGCGTCCAAAGTGACGTCTTCAAACGTCTTATCTTTTCTGACCAACAGCCAAAAACCAAGAGATATTCAGTTTACAATGATATAAACCAGAGAAAAGCAGCAGATCTTATCAGTGGAGAAACTGCACAGACTAAGATGATTAATCAATTTCCAGCTGGTGATTTAGTGCCTTCGGATAATCGATTATTTCAGATGCACAAAACATGTAGAATATTTCCTTTGGCTGGAATAATGCAGCTTTTGATTCTGAGGCTTTGTTTTACATAATAAATATAAGAAACTGTTCTGGATTGGTTAAATGTTTGAACTGATGGAATGGAAGCATCTTAATGGAACAAGGAATTTAGCTGTTGATGTGGCAGCAATTAATGATTAATTTACTCATTGACCAGTGTGGGATTATTTTAATTAATTATTGATATAATGCCAAGTGTCGATTACAAGTTCCCAGACCCCAGAGTGATGCATTTCGCCTCACTTCATCATTCAGTCAGGGTGATGTGATGGTGTGACCAGGCCGAATGAAACGTTTGTGGTTTTGTGTCTCTTTGTGGTTGTTTCCTGTCTCTTTGTTGTTGTTTCCTGTCTCTTTGTGGTTGTATCCTGTCTCTTTGTTGTTGTTTCCTGTCTCTTTGTGGTTGTATCCTGTCTCTTTGTTGTTGTTTCCTGTCTCTTTGTGGTTGTTTCCTGTCTCTTTGTGGTTGTATCCTGTCTCTTTGTTGTTGTATCCTGTCTCTTTGTGGTTGTATCCTGTCTCTTTGTTGTTGTTTCCTGTCTCTTTGTGGTGGTCTTGTGTCTCTGTAGTCTTTTAACTGAGCTCTGTGACTTTCAAACTAGAAATATTACTGGTCTCTTCACACAGAGGCTCTGGCCCCGGGGACCCCCTGACCCCTCGGGGCCCATAGGCCTGTTCAGCAATCCATACATGTGTCCAGGTCATGTCACGTTAATTGAGTATTACTATGAATTCCTGCTGTAGCTGGGAAGCGCTGACAGAAATGTGATATAGCAAAGTTAATGTACTTGATAAATAATTGTTGACCGTATAGTTTCATTTCTGTTTAATCTCACTGCAACATTAATTTCTTACCAAAGCTCTTAAAGTCAGAACCGGGTTTATCAGTTATTAAAGGGGCTGTCTTTAGTCCATTACCTGATGCTTGATTCAGTCTCTCAGGTGAAGCAGCCAGACCGGTTCAACCTGCTGGTTTCTCTCAGCAGGTGTGGGACCAACACCCGGAGGAACCGGCTCTGCTCTTACACTCCTGTTAACGACTGAGTTTATAATGAGCAGCAGAGTGAACATGTAAAACACTAGATGGTAGCACACTGCAGATTTTCTCCTTTTATTTTAACACTAAAAACATCATAATTATCATAATTAAAGTTCTCATATCCATAACTTCCAGCTAACGTCACTGTCAATGCTAGTTACAGTAAAATCTGTAGTTTAGTCAATGGTCACTGATAAATCCATGAATAGATGTAACTGGATAACAAATGCAGACACCATTTATTGATTTTGATAAATAATGATCAAAGAATATGTAAATCAGTTGAGTGTTTCATGTATAAATAACATTTAGCTATTAATTCAAATACACAACAACAGTTTTTTAATTTACTAAAGATGTAGTTTTTGTTTTTTCCCCTCGTGTTTGTTCATTGTGACAAATATTTAGTTAATATTTAGTTTATTTTAAATATTTTAGTCTCAACTGAATATAAAACCTGTTTATTATTATGATTATTAAAATGTCAGTAATGAAGAAGAATTGGATCCTGACTGAGTTCTGTACATCGCTTTGACACTTTACAGGAAGAGACAAAAGAAGAATTTAAATACTTTTCTTTGTTACACATTGTAGATTTAATCTTAATTATTTATTGTTTAAGGCTGCAACATCATGATGCATTATGTTTTTGTTTTTTTTCACTCCTGGGGTCGTTTCAAAGTCAGTGACACATTTGCAGCTGGAAAACACAGTCAGTTATTCAGTGTTTATATTTGTGACTTCACACAGGAAGACGTGTCCTCACAGTTTAGCTGTTTAAACAGTAACCTGCCCGTCCTGTCGCTGTGGTGATGGGTTAACTGATGCAGGCTGATAAAGGTTGATTCTGCTGTTTAACGTGACGAGCAGATGTTCACTCGCTTTGAAGACTCTCAAACATGTAAATATCTCAATATAAGAACCTTTCTGTAGTGATGCCATCATATAATTTATTTCACCATACCTTGTAATAATAGATAAAAGAAAATAAACAATGGAACTTTATTTTAGCACAAAAGAGGAAATCCAAAATTATCTCAGTATCAAAGTCTTTTCTCTAATCAAAGAATAAAAACGAGTTAAACATTGGTGCTAATTGTGGCGTATTAACAGAGTTTAAACAATTAGCCGATCAATTAGATGATTGAGAGAAAACTTAATACTGGATCATTTCATTAGTTTAATTTTAAAAAATGACATTTTTGTTAATTAGTATTTGCTGCTTTTCTTTTTTCTGTTTAATTCGGTGTGAACTCTAGATTTAGTTTTTGAACTGTGGAATGAAAACAGGAAATTTGAGGACGTCAACTTGGACAGACATTTCGTATTTTTTTTTCATTGAGCAAATACAAGAGCTGCAAAATGAATCAAAATACAATCATTATTACAATGTGGCCAAGTGAAAGGTAAAAACAGATCATAAATGAAGCGTTGTGGAGCTACAGAGACGCCCTGACCTACAGATCATATTCTCCAGATGTAAAGTAACATGATTGTTTGGAACAAGAGCAACAAAAATCACATCTTCATAATATTTAATAACAAAAATAATAAGAATAAACTTTATTTGTATTGCACCTTTCATACAAGAAATGACGTATAAAATTAACATAAAAACATGTTCAAAGCATTGGTCTAAAATGAAAAACATTAATGTAAAAAAATATATATATATTTATATTGAAAATCAAATGCAAAAACAATCATTCCAAACTGAAATTGCAATATGACTTTTTTTCTTCTTTTGTTTTTGCGTATCGTGCTCCCTACCAAATAATTAATAGAAACAGATGAATGTATAATGAGCGTAACCGTCCGTTTCAGCTTCTGTTAGTGTTTCCATATTTGATATTATATCTCAGTCAGTTTTCAGAAGGTCGCAGTGAGAGACCAGCGTCGTTATCGGACAGTGAATCAGAGGGAGCAGATGTCCCGCAGCCTGGACTCTAATATCAGATTAACCCCCCCCCCTCATGGTGCTGCTGTCAGTCTGGGTGGAGAACAGTGACTTCAGCTGGTTTCACTCCACAGAATAAGACAGTCTGTTGTCTTATCAGCCAATCAGAGTCGGTCTAGAAGCTTATTACTCCTCCAGGCTGCAGGGAAACCGTGGTGTGGCTCTGTCACAGAGCTAATCAATGATCAATACGCCTACTCTGGGTGACATGTTCCTCCATCACCATGGAGACACACACTGTAGTTCATTTAGACTGTCACACACATACACTGTCCTGCTGCTTCACACACTCACTACAGCACCAAATGTGGATTAATCTGCTGCAGAAAATAGTCCCCAACAACTTCACTATTTCCTGTTTGTTTTATAAAAACTACAGTGATCAGCTGTTTTTAAAACTGACGCTCTGCACTCTGTGATCAGTTTATTAGGGACACCTCTCTAACATGGGTGGTGCTGCTCTCAAACAGCCTCAGTTCTTCATGTCATGGATCCAACATAAAACTTCACTCATTTATTTTATTTGCACATAAAACACAATTCAAGAGAGTGTGAACAAGAGCAGTTCTGATTTAAAACATTGGTTATCAGTGTAGTCGTTCATTTTCTGATTATTCCTTCAGGTGTGTTTGAATCTGTACAGTTTTCTGTTTGCGTCATATTCCTGATCGACATTTCAGAAAATTTTATTCTAGAAATATAGATTACTCCACCACCTCGAGGTTTCCTCTGTTTCTGCCGCTAATTCCTTCAAACGCCACGTGGGCACCAGACGGCTTTGATGCTAAGCTAAAAGCTAGTGCTGCTGGTGGTCACACTCGTCACTACGCTCCCAGGCTGTTAGCCAAGCATGCTAATCCTGCTGCAGGTTAATCTGATTAGCGTGGCGGTCTGCTGCGTCAGATGTGTAGCAGGTTAAAATGCTCAGACTGAGGATCAGGGTTTCTTTATTTTATTTTATTTTTTAACATTTACAGATATTTTTAATTTTTTTACAGTTCCGTATGTTTGTAGTTTCTCGTGCTGCTCTTTTGATTTAGACAAAATATTTTCTTTGAACCAATCAGAGTAGAGAGTAATTACCTACAGAAGTCTGTGGTGCTGCTGATTTTGAAAGTGCATTATCGGCACATTTTGTATATTCAGTGCGGATGTGATGTATGTATAATAAATAAATAATAAAAACATATATATATATATATATATATATATGTAATATGATGGTTTTAAAAGAGCTGCATCATTTGTAGGAATCACAGATGTGAGCTCATCACATCCTGTATTTAAGATTAGTTTAATAAATATGTTTTAATTACTTAATTATTATACTGTCAAAATCATTTTTAAGTGAAAAATATCATAATATAACAATATATAATATGATAATCTAACGCTCAAATCATCGGTCAGATTCAGCTCCTGCTTCAGAAACTTAGACTATCTTAGACCTGACAGATCTGTACTTTAGGGATATTCAATATATTAATGGCTGATCCATTAAAGTTTTAATTATTGTTCCAAATAAAGATCTTTCAGTTAATTACAATAATAATGTGAAGCAGGGCTGTAACTAACGATTATTATCGATTCATCTGTTATTTTTTTGATTAATCATTTATTGTCGTCACAAACGTCACGTTACTGCATCAACAGATAATTATGTTATTGTTACCGACCGTTAAACTCCCAGGGTGCACCTCTTCTCTTAATTTACCTGTAAACACAGGGTCTGAACATGTGTGTGTTGGTGTAATGAGTAACCTGCAGACTCCAGTGTTTATGTACAGAGCAAAGTGTGTGTGTGTGTGTGTGTGTGTGTGTGTGTGTGTGTGTGTTGAGGGGTGCTGCAGTAATCCCTCGGGGTGTAATCTCATTAAGGTGAACAGAGCTATGTTTGCATGTCCGGTGAGTGCTGGTTGGTCGTCATGGAGGTGGATGGATGGCAGGGAGACACAGGTTGACAACCTGCAGAGTGTGTGTGTGTTGATAACCACACACAACCAGTGACACAAAAAAAATAAATCATGTTGTGAGTGAAGACGCATCACTCTAAAGTGGAAACTCGTCTCCAGAGAAACAATCAGCTGATAGCAGCTCGTTAAACACAGCAGAGATCAGGATCAGGATTCTGGTCCAACAGATCCAAACATTTTGATACGCGTACTTCCTGTTGGCTGCTGTGACATCAGTTTACCTGGTCAGACTTTTGGACCAGGTGTGTTCTCACTCCTCCTCCTCCTCCTCCTCCTCAGACTATGGATCAGAGGGTTGGGTTGTTCGTTCTTCTGGCGGTGGGCCTCCTCTGCCTCGGTTTGGCCCCCGTCTCTCGGGCCCAGGATCTTGTGGATGACGGTCTGGACGACGATGTGGATGTGGAAGACGAGCTGGATCTGGGTTTGGCCGGAGCCGAGGAGGAGCTGGAGGGCGACCTGCAGGATGAAGCTCCACCTGCTCCTAAAACTCCTCCCACACCCAAGGTAAGACGAGCTGATTGGACGACGGTTATTTAAGTTATTTATACATGTGATGAGTTTTAAGAAGCAGAAAATTAGTTCATGCAGATTTTCAGAACTGACTTTTACTCAGATGACACCCCCCTCCACACACACACACACACTCACACACACACACACACACACACACACACACACACACACACACACACACACACACACACCCCACTCCCCACTCCCCACCACCCTGTTACTGATTAACCAGCTCAGTAAGGAGTGTGTTTGACCTGCTGATCCACTGACCTGCTTTCACACCAGGAACCACAAAAAACAGCGTATTTTATAATTAATCCTGAACGTTAAATAAACAAATGTTTTCTGTAAATGTTGACTTTGTTGTAGAGACAGAATTATTTATGCAGATGTTTGTGTTTGTGATTTTTAATTAAAGCGATTAAACATTTACTAAAGTGAAAGTTGCACAAGATAACAGTGAACACACCTGCAATATTTTCTGAGACTGGAAAGAAAATAAGTTTAAATTCATGTTCTGTAACTTCTTCTTCTTCTGCCTCTTTGTGTGCAGGTGACCTACAAGGCTCCAGAGCCGATGGGGGAACATTTCTTTGCTGAGTCTTTTGACCGGGGGACACTTGACGGGTGAGCACAAGTGATGATTTAATTTAATCTACAGATTAAGTCTGTAAATGTCTTTTCAACATTTATTAGAAGACGCCGTGAAAACTACAAAAATAAAAACATCAAAGTTGAAACTCGTCGTCCGTATTAAACATGTGAACGAAATCATACACAAATATAAATCAAATATAAAACCGTGTGCGCCTCATGACTCTGGTCATGTGACTCTTACTCTTCAAAATAAAACAAAACCTTTACTATCATTTTATTATTTTAAACAAACCTTTCTCAATGTTACCCTTTTAATATCCTATTCATTCAATTTGTAATCCTTTTTAATTACCTTATGAACTTAAATTATCATGAACTTAATAAAAAATAAATCGGTCTGTTACAGAAACCATCAAATATTTAACATTTAAAAAAAAAAAAAAAGAATCTATTATTAGAATAGTTTCAGATTAATTCTGTCATTCGATTGATCGACTGATTGTTGAACACCGGACACGACTGAAATCTTCTTCTTCTTTTCATTTTGTGGAGGAAACTGTGAGGTTTCATCGAGCTGCAGTGATGGAGAGAAGACCTGTTGATACTTTCAGTGCGACGTTGATGTGATTTATTAAAACAAAGTCAGACTTTAACTCTTAAATAAAACAAACAGACTTCAGATCGACTGAGTCTGAATTCATCTGCTGCACAAAACCACTTTAGTTTTAGTCTTAAACCAGACTGGTACAAAGAATTCTGGGTAAATTAAGACTTTTTTCATAATAAAAAAAAGGGCGACTGAGGAACCACATCCATCCACTCAGCTTCGTTTACCCTCATCAGAACATGTTTAGTAAGAATTCAACAGTTACAGGAAGTTTTACTTTGAAGAGTGAAACAATAAGAAGAAAAAAACAAAATGGCTGCCGTCTCTAAAAACTGTCTCTTCTCGTTGCTCAAATTAGGAGCCATGTTTCCCTGTTTTTGTTGTTGGGTGCTGCTGCTCAGTGCAGGTGTCATTGATTGTTACCATGGTAACATTGATCTTATCATCATTATTATTGTTATTATTATTATTTATTTTTGTGAAACAGTCTGAATAACATCAGACTGGTCTATGACCAACACGACAGGTGTGTTGGTAACTTACCTGTCTGCTGGTTTCAGGTGGGTTCAGTCCAACGCCAAGAAGGAAGACGCCGATGAAGAGATCGCCAAGTATGATGGTAGGTCCCGATGAAGATACTGACATGAAGAGAGGTGTCCTCAAAAGGCCACCGTACTGAGGAACACATGCATCCAACAGGTAAATGATGATGTCGTTGTTGACAGGTAAATGGGCCGTGGAGGAGATGAAGGACAGTAAGCTGCCCGGTGATAAAGGTCTTGTCCTGAAGTCCAAAGCCAAACATCACGCCATCTCCGCCCAGATGCTGCGACCGTTCATCTTTGACACCAAACCCCTCATCATCCAGTAAGACCAGACGCTCACCTGTCCTCTGACACTGGTCCAGGTGTTCCTGAACTGTTTCTGATTTTGTGTGTGTGTGTGTGTGTTCAGGTATGAGGTGAACTTCCAGTCAGGTATCGACTGCGGCGGCGCCTACGTCAAACTGCTGACTCAGACTCCTGACCTCGACCTGGTCAGTGTGACTCTGCTCATCTCACACACACCTTGAATACACCTGTCTGTTTCCCACCTGCACCTCTTCCACAGCTGATCCGTGTGTGTGTGTGTGTGTGTGTGTGTGTGCGTGTGTCTCCAGGACCAGTTTGTGGATAAGACTCCGTACACCATCATGTTCGGACCTGATAAATGTGGAGAAGATTATAAACTTCACTTCATCTTCAGACACAAAAACCCCAAAACTGGAGAGTACGAAGAAAAACACGCCAAGAAACCAGACGCTGACCTCAGGACGTACTACACCGACAAGAAGACACACCTGTACACACTGGGTAATTTGTGTGCACCTGCACACACACCTGCACACACACCTGCACACACCTGTACACGCAGGGTAACACACACTATCAACAGTCCAGGTGTGTAACCGCTCTGTGTCGCCCCCCAGTGGTGAACCCTGACAACACCTTCGAGGTGCTGGTGGACCAGACGGTGGTGAACAGCGGCAGCCTGCTGACAGACATGACCCCCGCTGTGAACCCCCCCGCTGAGATCGAGGACCCCGACGACCAGAAACCCGAGGACTGGGACGAGAGGCCCAAGATCCAGGACCCGGACGCCGCCAAGCCCGAGGACTGGTCAGTGCCGACAGAACCAAGAGCTGAGAGAACTTTCAAGAACCGGGTCGATAAGAGAGTGTGATGATGAGAGTCCTGTTAAAGAACCGGATCGATAATCAGTATTGATAAAAGTAGTATTACTGTTAAATCTCCGTGTAAACAAATAAAATAATTGTGACTCAAAGAAAATCTTTGAGATGAAAATATAAAATTATTGTTTCATATTTGAAAATGTTTCCTAATGAAAAAGTTTAAGACCTCAGATCAAACAGTTTGTGACTGTGTGACATCACAGAGAGAAAACAGCTGTAAGAATTAGTTCATAGCAGTTAAAGGTCAGAGTGTATATTCTTTAATGAACATGATCTACTGATGATCGATATTAGATTTAAAACACATCTTCACTTTGAGAATCTGGAACCTGAACTTTAAACTTATTTTCAAACGTCTCAATCACATGATGAACAACTCATGAGATCAGAGTAGTTTATTTCCTGGTTTGTTCTCTGTGTTTATAGATGTTATTATTTCTGTATGTTGATGTTCAGGGACGAGGACGCTCCTGCTCAGATTCCAGATGAAGACGCAGTGAAACCAGACGGCTGGTTGGATGACGAGCCCGAGTACATCGGAGACCCTGACGCCGTCAAACCTGAAGACTGGTACGGTCTCAGATTCAGGTTCAGCTCGTCAATCAAACTGCAGACTCTGTTCTCCTGGGTCGTCCTGGTAACTGTCCCTCTGTGTCTCCTGTCCTTTTTTAGGGACGAGGACATGGACGGCGAATGGGAGGCCCCTCAGATCCCGAACCCCGCCTGTGAGACGGCCCCTGGCTGCGGCCCCTGGAAACGACCGATGATCGACAACCCCAGCTACAAGGGCAAGTGGAAGCCCCCGATGATCGACAACCCCAACTACCAGGTGAGTTCCCGCCCCGTGTTTAGTCAGGTGACTGTGACTACCTGTTCTGTTGCAGCGTGTTTTGAGTGGCGGTGGTTCTCCTGAGATCCTGACCTCGGACTCTTCGTGTTCTCAGGGCGTCTGGAAACCAAGGAAGATCTCCAACCCGGCGTTCTTCGAGGACCTGCACCCGTTCAGAATGACTCCATTCAGCGCCGTGGGACTGGAGCTCTGGTCCATGACTTCCGACATCTTCTTCGACAACTTCTTCATCACCAATGACCGCAGCACGGCCGAGCGCTGGGCCACCGACGGCTGGGGGCTGAAGAAGGCAGCAGAGGGCGCCGCTGAGGTGAGTCCAGACTGATGGAGTCATGCTGGTCCCACAGTGGAGGGTCATCAGCTGATTATCTGCCCATATGATCCTGTAGTGTGAGGAGGCGACAGGCATTATGTTACAGACTGTTGAAATCCTGAGGTGTGAAGGAATATCCAGCAGAAACCTGCAGGAGCCAATGAGAGCGAGCCGACCAGGAAGACTCCCCAACCAGATGTTGTTTTACCAACAAGAAAATTAAATATCCAACCACCTCCAGATCACACTTGTACTTCTTTGGTACGAAATAGAGCTGCACAATTATCAGAATCTCAATATATCCAAGTTCAATCAATCACAGCAGCTGCAGTTTCTTTAGATGAAGGTAAAATGTGTTGCATTGTTGTGTATTGTTAGCGTTAGCATTGTTAGCACCATCAGTGTTGTGGAGCTACAGAGACGCTCCGACCTACAGGTCATATTCTGCAGATGTTAAAGGGATATTGTTTGTTTGGTACAAGACCAACAAAAATCACCTCATAATAAAAAGAAGAAAAACAACATTCAACTGAAATCAAAAAGATTTTTTTAGTACAAAATATAGTTCACATAAGTCCAACCAGCTGGTGTTTGAAGAAAATGAAACCAGAAATAGAAACCAAAGATAAAAACATTGAAGTCAAGAATTAGAAGCTGCTTTATACAGGTGTGTTTTAAACTGGAGCCTGATCTCCTCGAGGCTTTGGGACGGATGACAGAGTTTAGCTCGAGGATCAGGTCTAAAGTATAAGAAGGTGATAAACCGGACAGAGACTTAAAGTGATAAAAAGTGTAAATGTGTCGGCTCTCTGGATCAGATCTCTGGATCTGGTTCTGGACTCTGATGAAACGTCGGAAGTTCATTTAAACTTTATTCATGAATGAATGAATTCGTTGAGGTCAGTTTAAAAAACAATAACCGTTTTCGCTCGCTCTGGTTAAATGTAACGTCCTGAGTTTCTCTCTGTCATGAAACGTGACATGTTTGTTTTGACTCTCAGTGATGATGTAATCCTCTGGAGGAGGCGGAGTCTCTGAGTGGGACAGAAATAGATGTTGTGATGTTAATAAGAGAAACCACCTGGGACAGTTTGACTCAGAGCAGGAAGGTTCACTCGTTTTAACAGACAGATGCTGCGTTCAGGGACACTCAGATTACTAAAGCTGTTATTATGACTTTAAACTCTAGTCATAGTTGGTTTCCTTAAAGGAACACTGCGTGTTTTATCCAAGTTTAGACTGTGACACTTTCACAATCTCTTCTCATACAAATATCCAAGAAGCAGCAGCTTCTAAAGTGAAAGCTCAAACTTTATCCGAATCAACTACGAACTACGAACACTTTAATGTTCATCAGTAAAAGATTTTCAGCATTAAACAAAGACAGGAACTAAAAACTTACTTGTTCATTTACACAGGTCTGTGATGGATTCATTAGCAGCTCTGCTATTGGCTGTCAGCTCTCTGTCAGTGACCTCACTTTACTCCACTTCCTCTTATTTTTAAAATCATTATTAACTAACACTTGAATCACACAGCTCACAGGGACATTTTATCCCTCTGTAGCAGGCTCATAACACCAGCTCCACCTCCACCTGCTGCACTCTGAGCTTTAGTTCCTGCTGCTCACAACATGTGAAAAATAAAAAACTTTAAATACTTGATCTCTCCAGCAGCGGCAGCGTCTCGTTAACTGACCGGTCCACAGGCTGGAGACAGTCAGTGACGCTCTTTAACTGAAGTGTTGTGTTGTTTGTCTCATGTTGTTGTTGTTGTTGTTGTTGTTGTTGTTGTTGTTGTTTACTAATGTTTCCTCTCATGTTTGTTTGTTTGTTTGTTTGTTGTTGCAGCCTGGTCTGGCAGCTCAGATGCTGAGCGCTGCAGAGGAGCGTCCCTGGCTCTGGGTCGTCTACGTCCTCACCGTGGCGTTACCGCTCGTCCTCATCATCGTGTTCTGCTGCACCGGCAAGGTAACACACACACACACACACACACACACACACACACACACACACACATACATACACATACACATACACACACTCACACACACTGCAGTGACTTTAGTCAGACTGTCTTAATTCCACTGAAACACCGTTATACACACGGTTATAAACATGAGTCGATCTAAAGTTTCACTGATTTCTCTACATGTTGTTCCTGAACTTGTTTACCTGTGAACACACACTTCACACACACTTCACACACACTTCACAGGATTCCTGCAGGTTTTCCAAAGTCGGATTTCAGTTTAAAAAAAAAAACAAAACCAAAGACGTTGGTCTCAGTTTTCATTCACAAAGATCTTAAATGTTCCCAAACACGTGAATATTAAACTTAAGGTTTAGCGTTTCTAGTAAACTACATTGAGAGTCTGTATTTTTCTATATAATTAGATAATTCATAAATATCAGACATTGGACACATGAGCTGCCTTTTATGGATCACATATCAAATTTATATTTATATATCTTTTTAACAAAAACTGGATAAACTCCAGTTGTGTTCCTCCAGATCTCTGGTCTAATGTGGATCTTAAATAAATACGTCAATATTTAATTGGTTACTCTTTCCATCTGTTTATCCATCCATTCATTTCCTGCTGCTCATCCAGGTCGTATCTAGTGATTAATTAATAATATTATTATTTTTATTTATTTAACCTTTTATTTATTTATTTATTTATTTATTTATTCCAGTAAATCACGCTGAGATAGAAATCTCCTGAATGAACATGAAAAACATAAGAACATGAACATTAATTTACGAATAATTAACAATAACATTGCAAAATTGTAATAAAAATAAAACTTTAAAATAGAATTTAAAATATATAAGATGCCAAGATTATAAAACATCTGTTAAAACAACTGCATTCTGTTTGGGGAAGGTTTCATGTTAAAGGAATTCTTCTTCTGCAGCGACACAAAAGATAGAAATGTGAGTAAATTCCTGCTGTTGGAAAATAATCTCTGTTCTGGTTCTCACTGAAATCTTGGGTTGGTGTTAAATTTAATTCTGTGTTTTATCTCTTCACAATAATATAAAGACAAATATAAATATGACATCAGTGCAGTCCAGGTGTAATAACATATGTATAACATATCAGTGATTCAAACACAGACAACATGTTACAACATAATAGAGAAGCGTGGCTCTTAGTCAAAGGGACGGACTGGATCCCATCATTACCCATCATGCAGCCTGTTGTCAGTGCTGACGTCTCAGTCTGATGTGTGTGACTGTCCACAGAGGTCGTCAGGATCAGCTCAGGGTCAGTTGAGTCTCACCAACTTACAGGAAGAGTTTAAGGAAGCTGGACGCCACGCCGCCTCCTCCTCCGCCGCCGCCGCCGCCGCCTCCTCAGGCCCGGTGACTGCCGCTGCCCGTTAGAGTAGCTGTGTCCTCAGTGTCCTGTCTGTCGGTCTCTCTGTGCCTGTCCTGTGTCTCTGTGGTTCTGTAGTGTAGAGCTGAAGACCCTGTGTTCATGAAGGTCAAAGGTCAAACACATGTTGGAGGAAAAGTTTGAACTGGAGTTTATTTGAATCGTCGTTGATCAAATTCTGCTCATCGAGTCCTGAAAGAGTCGATTAATCAATGACTCCTTTTTTTTATTCCTCCGCGCCGGCGACGGTCAGAGCAGCGGCCGTTTTGTTTTCAGAGCGTCTGTCCGTCTCCTGAACGTGATATCTCAGTAACGCCTTCAGGGAACTTTTGCCACAAACATTCACCAGGACTCAAGGGTGAACTGATTAGACTTTGGTGGCTAAAGGTCAAAGGTCAAGGTCGGTGTGACCTCATGACACGTTTTCAACCATAACTCACGACTTCATTTACTAATTCTGACACAATTTAACTCAAATGTCTCAGGATAAAATCAAGTGATGACAGTTTATATCCAAAAGGTCAGAGGTCAAATTATTCAGTGCTATAACTCAGGAAGGAGAGCGTGCGACCATGTTTACCTACAACTTGCACCAACTTCAACTTCCTACAATTATTGCATTTTTAATGAAGCATTTCCTTAATTTCAGTTTTTAATAGAAATTAAAAACAGGAATTGTAAAAAGAATTTATAGATAAACGATTAATCATCAATAAATGCGTCAGATTTAAAAATGGATTTAAAAATAAAACATCATTAAATAAACCATTTATAAATATATTTAGTAATTCTAATTGAAAATGCTGTTAGCTAATCGATTAGCTTAGCCATTTAGCTTCTCCTGTCAGCCTCTCTCTGACACTCTAGACCTTCAGTGGTAAAACCAGGTTAAACAATCCCATTGGTCATGGGATTTAACAAGCTCTCTGATTGGCCGGAGAGCTGACCGGTCATATTATATCTATAATGAAATGTACATCTTAATCTGAGTCGAGGACAGAGGTTTTCAGAGGTGAAGTGTCACCTGGATTTGATCAGATCCAGTCGATGAGCAGAATCAGCTGGATCCAGAATCTATAAACCTCAGATCTACTCGACCTGACTCGTATGTCCAGCCTCCTTCCTCTGAGGGGGCGTGGCCTCTGACTTTCCCACTGAAGATCAATCAAACATAGGCTGTTTAACAGGAAGTGATTCATGCAAGGAACAGAACAGGTGGATACAGAGAGGGAGGCTGAAGTATTTATCATCAGTCTGCAGCTTCAAGAGTCTGAGAGCAAGTTTATTCACAGAAATAATAATTAAAGATGTTATTAAATATATTTAGATAGTTTATAATTATTAGTCACTCTTTTCCAGATGATTTTGTTGTGGTGTTAGAGTTTGGAAAACCTCTTGTTCATGAGCTGAAGGTTTTCTGTGTTTGACGTTAAAGTCAAACTGACCCGTTTCCTGTTTGTCCTGCAGAAGAAGAGTCCAGCGACGCCGGCAGAGTACAAGAAGACGGACGCACCTCAGCCCGACGTGAAGGAGGAGGAGGAGGGGGAGGAGGAAGAGGAGGCTGAAGAGGCGGAGAAGAGCAGTCCAGGTGGGTGTGATGTCTGGAATTCAGAGGAAAGCTGCTTCTTCTGTCTCCGTCCGTCTGACTGATCCAACGTTTTCTGTTTCAGCTGCAGGAGAGAAGAGCGAGGGAGAGGAAAGTCCTGCAGAGGAAGAGGAAGCAGAGAAGGATGAAGAGAAGGACGAAGAGAAGGATGAAGAGCAGGATGAAGAGAAGGATGCAGCAGCAGATGAGGTGAGGAGACATTTTTAGTTTCAGTCAAGGTTCTGACATGTTGAATTTTCTCAGTTTTGTTTCTAATAAGAAGCTTTTCTTTCTCCTTCTTCTTCTGACAAATAGAAGGAAAGTTGACATATATTCTTATAAAATATAAAAGTGTTGACATAGATCATCTCTTTTCTTTAAAAGATTCTTACATTTAAATTTTCCTTGGATTAAATAATTTTATTTGATTAAAGAAAACTAAAGCAGCTGCTAACAATCCCATGATGCACTGTGTCACATTAAAGTGAGCTGACTGTGGTCGTTTCCTCTGCAGAAGTCGGAGGACGACATTCTGCGGAGATCTCCCAGGAACAGGAAGGTCAGAAGGGACTGATATCTCTGAATCCAAAGCCCTGACCTCAACACCCCCCACTCCCCTAAAATTCCCCCGCCCCCCCTTCTTCCTCCTCTTCTTCTACCCTTGCTCCGAGGTGATGAAGCCTAAATGGATCCCATGGAAGCAGCGAAGCCGACAGGAAACTAAATAAGATATGGACGCCTGATGATGATGATGATGATGATGATGATGATTCCAGTATGAACAGGACTGAGTTAGATTAAAGGAGATTAACTGAGATTAACTAAAACTTCCTGCATCATTCCTTAACAACACCTGAGCAGACTCAAACCCACGAGACCAACGTCTCCTGTCCTGATCGCCGCCTGCCGCCACCCCGCTAGCAAGAGCCGTGCCCGACCAACGGCCCGTTAAACAGCGTGTAAACAGTTTGTTAGTGAGTCTGCTGACAGGGGGAAATGTGACTCTACTAGTCATCCTACAACCTGAAGCAGCCGACCAGCAGTCACATCATTAGGCTTCAGCTGTCGGGATCATCCTGCAAACAGCCAGTAAATCAACCTACAGTAAGATGTTGAATGGCCTGCTAACAGGCCTCTCAGTAGAGTAAACAGCCCACCAGCAGCTGGAGAATCAGACAGTCAAGTAAGGCCTTAAACAGCCTGTAAACAGTTTGTAAATTCCTCTCCAGACAGGCAGAACGTCTGGCTCTCATGGTCCTGTTCGGGCTGCTAACAGGCTGCTAATGCGTTAGCATTATCCTCCAATCAAGCTACTGAAAGAAAAGTCAAGATAAACCTCCAAACAATCCAGGAAGTGCTGCCATGACACCTGGTCAATCACCTGTAAACAGCTTGTTAACTAGTCTCCTGACAGACAGATAACTAACCAACAGTGTGGAGACTAGTATCAGATTTATCTAACAACCCAATGATCCCACCAGCAGGCTGCTAGTTAGCCCGCTAAACTTCTCTCTAATTTGCCAACCACTGTCTAATTTACCAGCTGAAATAGCTTGTTAGCGACAACAGTGACGTGTTGCTAATTAGCCTACTTGACTACAGGTTAAAGTAGCAGAGCATCATCAACAGGCTGCTAACAAGTCCTCAGATAATCTAAGTAACTAGCGATGATCTTAACCCACTAACAGCCGACTTCTTCGTCTTCCAGGAGTCTGTAAATTAGCCTGCTAGCATCCTTAAAGAAAGCCACAACTTTTCAGTTAGCGTGCTGATGTTTCAAGAAGTGAGATGAGAACACTCCGGCTGACATGAACTTTTCTTTCTTCTTCTTCTTCTCATGATGTTGTTGTGACGGACGTTCGCTGACGTTTTGTCTCCTCAGTGTTTTTGATGTGTGTTATTGTCCTGATGGCAGCAGGGAAGGTCAGAGGTCAGAGGAAGGTCAGTGTATGTTGTTGTGACTTGTGGTGATGCGTTCAGGAACAGCTGTTGTCAGTTGCAGGTGTCAGCTGTTGGTTAGCGGAGGTGGATCTGGTCGGACCGGTTCTCGTTCAGAACTGTGGCGTCAGCGCGGCGACGCAGCAGCAGATGAAACTTCTTTTTATTTGTCAGAACAAACTTTCAACAGGTCAGAGACACAAGATGGTGACAGTAGATTTTATCTGCTTCACCCTCCCTCCATCTTTTCTTCTTTGTGTGATTTCAGTCCAAACAAACGTGACAGCAGCTCAGTTCCTGCCTCTGTCCATCAGGTTGGCAGGATGTGAGAGTTTCCTGGTCCTGGATCAGTTTCACATCGACACGTGTGGTTGATGACGTTCACAGTAGAACCTCCTTCAGTCAGAGGAATCGGCTGCTGTCGTGTTTGTTGCGGCTGAAAACTTGTGTCGGCAGATGGACAGACACTCGGTCCCTCTTTCATCAACCCCATATGAAAAGAAAAAGGCACTAAAGGGGAAAAACTCAGGCGCTTAACCTCAACACCTGTCCACCTGCTACACCTCTGTCACACCTCTGTCACACCTCTGTCACACCTCTGTCACACCTCTATCAAACCTCCGCCGATCACCGACGTCCTCCGACATGAATCCTGGATCCAGGCCGGAGTTCTGCCCCATGTTTAAAAGAGTTGGCACTTGAGCTTGATGTTCATTCTTAACCTCTACTTTAGACAAAATATCTGAACTCAAGGTCCACTTACTTTCAGCTTTCACCACATCTCATGCTCTTCATCTGAGGACTGGAGTGTGCTCAGCTGTAATCACATGACCTCAGGCTCAGAAGCTTCAGACCTGGGTCATGTGATCACACTTGAGCAGACTTCAAAGATGAGGTTGTGTTTCCATCTGCTGCTGATGAGTCGCGGCCGCCATCGCCTCGACGTCGGGCTGAGAAACAGTTCCAGACGTAAAAACTCTGAATGAGAATCGCTTGATTTCCTGTTTGTCCGTCCGAACGACATTTTGTCTTCACCTTTACAGTCAGTATATAAACGTGTAGTGAAGGGTTTATAACACAGTAAGATGTGGTTGTAAAGAGGCTGCTGTTCAAACTAAACGGTCAGTCCATCGACGGGAAACTATTGATGAACATGGTTTACTGATCAGTCGACCTCCTGACCTTCCCTCCAGCTCCACCATCAGGATGAAATTTCCACTTTTCAGTTCTTGAATAAAAAACGTGAAAAATTCTTCCATGATCTTTGAGTGTAAAGACGACGTCTGTGTTCCTGTTTGTTCATTATGAAAAAAAAAAAACACGATGGTTTTCTGTCCAACTTTACTTCACTGTGACCGAGTGAAATAAAACAGGTGTGTGTGTGGAAAAGAAACGCACCTGCATTAGTCTTGTATCCATGAGGTGACTGTTGATGTGTCTGTTTCTGTCGTTGTCAGACTTCAGTTTTCCATCCTCTAAACGTCTGTTTCCTGTTGATGTGAGTCAGGTGATCGGCAGGTCGACTGACTGGTCGAAGGCAGTTTGTAGAGTCTGAGGTTTTTGTCGGTGAATTCAGATTCGGGGCCTTGAGGTAAACCGGAGGTCCCCGCTTCCATGTCCAGGTGACCTTTATTTAACCTTTTATTTTCCCTCCTCTTCTTCGGGTAAACACAAGCTGCAGTTGTTTGGTTTTGGCTGTAAACTCTGTTGCTTTTAGTCTGTTTTTTTTCCTCTGCTGTAAATCCAGTGTTTTGGGTTTTAGGATGAGTCTCCTCCAGCAGCAGCGTTACCTTCCCATCGAGGACTCATGTTTCAGTCATCCTCTCTCTCTCTCTCTCTCTGTCTCTCTCTCTGTCTCTCTCTCTCTCTCCCTCTCTCTCTCTCTCCTCCTTTACTCTCTGATTGTTTGTTCCCTCTGGTCGTGTCCGGCTGAAGCTGCCTGTAGCTAACAGACTGTAGACTGAACACTGTATCTGCTGGTGAGATTTTACATGACTCTGTAACAATTAACTTTTTATTATTTTGTTGACTTTGTGTTGAACTAATTGGTCGGCCCAGCCTGTTTCTGATGTACACACTATGTAGAGAGGTGGACCTGCTGACACGCCACAGGACGGTCCAGCTTTGAATAGAAATACTGTGATGATGGAGCCTGATGTGTGAGTGTGGACACGCAGTCAACATTTGTTTTGATGAATAAAAAGGCTGAATGGAAACTGAATGAGAAGCTGCTGTGTGTTTTTTATCTGTGTGTCTCTGCAGGTGAGTCTGATCCAGACTTCTTTTTTTTTTTTTAAATATTCCTCTCAGAGTCTCTACAGTTTTACTTTCACAATCAAAACACCTTTATTATTTATGGGAGCTCATAAACTTCCACCAGTGTTGATCTGGAGTGGACATATGAGATGGAAACATCCAAAAAGTCACAAACGTGAAGATTCGGCTTCAGAGCAGCAGCTCAGTATGAAGATCTTTAACTGGATTAGAGAAGTGAAAACTTTATATTGTCAGATTTTATTCACATTTTATATTTCAAAACAGGTCAGTTTAATATTCACGATGCTCAGCACAAATTGTTCCTGACAGAGATGATCAGTGGAAGTTTGGTACGAACCTGAAATGTCAACATGTCTGATGAAAAGCAGCTGCCGCCTGATGTGAAGCAGAAAAACATTCAGGGACGTTACTGTCGACTCTTGACGAGGAAAGACTGATTTAGATGAGACTGAAGATGAAGTCCATTTCCTGTTTCACTGGTTATGATATGATGATTCAACAGCAACATTATTTGGTAAAATGTCTTTAATTTCTGATGATTATTAAAAAGGTTTTATTTGTTGAGTTCTTAGTTAAACATTCTTTGTTTGAAGTTAGATTCATGTTTGACAGATACATCACCACTGCAACTGTGTTTTTGTGTGTGTCTAAGCAGCAGGGCTGGATTAACCTCCTGAGGGGTAAAAATATGTTGCTGGGCCCCGACTGACCCCAACTGACCCCCATAATATACAGTAGATCAGCTGAAATGATTTGTCAATTAAATGATTAGCTGATTGCCGGAAAATCAATTGGCAACAGCTTTGATCGTTTATTCTTTGTCATTTTTGAAGTAAAATTTCTAAAATACTTGTCAGGTGATTGGATGAACCATCTGTCCATCAGTGCAGGGGAGGAAACACAACAAACTGCAGTCTGAGGAGCTTTGGAAGCTACTTCTGATACTGGACTTTCATCAGTGGAGATAGTTCGTATCAAATTATAGATAGATAGATAAATATAATGGTGAATCCGACATATTTAAATCTACAAGATGGCCAAAAAGAATTGGGTTTAAGTTCTGCCCCACAGTGTAACTCACTGAATCCATGGCAACATTACTCTTTATTTTTCTTGTAAAAGTTTACATCTGTTCATATGAGAGAAGGCTTTTGCTGTTACCTGTAAAATCACCCAAAAGACATTGTGTAAAAAACTAATTAAATTTTACTGATATTTAAATTATCTTTTTTTTTAAAGGACATGTACAATCAGTCAGGTAATACAACAGCACATAGAAATAATAATTTAAATGATAAAAGTACAATAGGCGAAAATAAATGAATGAAAATATAAAACTACATATTTTTTTTAAAGAATTGAAATTAATAAATACAATAAAATAACACAGGTGAACATAAATAAACACACAAATAAATGATATTTAAATTGAAGTTATAAATTGGGCTACTCCATGACGTTAGGGCGGATTCTCAGCTCTGATTGGGCTGCTTTTTGATTCTCAACGCTGCGGTCGCTCTCTATTGGCTGTCTCCTCTGTCACTCATCGGTGAGGCGGGCGCAGGGACATTCCTCTTGTCGCTGATGGAAAAAAAGAGAAAGTTCCCAAAATGGCGGCGTGGACCTGCCTGTCCGCTGGAAAACAATAGAAGCAGCACAGAGGGACCGAGTTAGCCCCTTCTGACTGACGACCCTCCGCTTCACAGCCGTAACCATCCCGACTCGGGCTCGGCCACGGGGAGGGTTATCCGCGACGGCACCTCGGGGGAAATACATTTAGAGTATGATGCCTTATTTAAATGTTTCATGCTAGCCACCTAGCTAGCCAGCCAGCTAGTCGAGCTATCGTTACCCAAAACATAGCGTTAGCAGCTAGCGGCTAACGGCTACACGGAGGCGGAGGATCAGCTGTTAGACAGATGCTGTAGGAAGAGCGGACAGCTACACTTTCACAGTAAGTGAATTTAAAAACTCACTAAGCTCTAATTGTCTGGGAAGTCCTGTCGTTTGTTTTCTCGTGTGTGAAAGTGCGTTATTGGATAAAATAATGTGTTTATTAGCGGAGTAATCGCTGCCAAGTTTGTGAAGAAGAAGCCCAGAAGCGCTAGCCAGTTAGCCCTGCTGGCTACCTTCCTAAGCTAACTCCGAATACTTGAACAAAATAAAGTTTCAGACAAGTTGGGGAGCCGTTACGATGCCCCCGCAGACTGTAACATCATCTCCAGTAAAGGCGTGGAGGTAAAGCTGGAGGCTAACGCCAGCTAGTTCCAGAACAACCACAATTTAACGGCAGCTCAGATAGTTTTTAAGGAATTTTCGACGCTCCAACTTTGATTTGTGAGTGGAGGAATGTGCTAACTTAACTTAGCCCGACGGGAGTTAGTTTGATGGCGAGACAGCAACAGCACTGTTTCATTATTGGAGATTTCAATGCAGTGAAAATAATTTAAATGGTTTGTGCTAGAAGTAGCGGACCGTGGTTTGTTTTCATACCACGGGGTTAAATACATGAGGTGTGTGTTTTTGATTTGGGGTTAAACTCGGGCGGAATGCGGCTCTGTTGCAGGACTCCAGTAGCTCTGTTTTACACAGCAACTTAAATGAGCTGTTGTATTTAACGAGGTTCATACTGTACACTTGGGTTTAAGTGGTTAAATTCAGGAGGCTGAATGGTATTGCACCTCAAAAACCCAATTTTCCTCTCCGGCAGTGAGTGCCGCTGTGACTGAAGGCCATTAGCAAGACAAAGGTCGCCTCCATGGAGCCAGCACAGGAGTCTTTGTAGAGGGCGAGGGGGGGTGTATAGACGCCCAGAGAGAAAAGAGCCAAATTCAGCATTTTATGGACGAAACCTGAGCCGGGAGTTTACTACAAGTCTGTATTGATGATGGCGGATTTTGTTACACCGCGACACAGCGCGGTGATGGAGAGGCTCCGCCGGAGGATCGAGCTCTTCCGGCAGCATCACAACAGCTGCGAGAGCCGCTACGAGAACGCGACGCTGGAGCGGCTGGAGCTGGAGAGGCAGCAGACCTTCGCCCTGCACCAGCGCTGTCTGCAGGCCAAAGCCAAGCGGTCCAACAAACACCGGCAGCCCCAGCCCAGCGGCGACCAGGCCGGCCAGAGAGCGCCGGGCAGCGGAGGCGGCAGCGCGGAGCTCGGGGAGAGCGGAGGGACGGCGGCGGAGCAGAGCCGGAATAGCACCCTGATAGCGGTGAGTGAGCACTGAACACAGGCTGGATGTTAGAGCACAGACACACAGTAGGCTGGTGCAGCAGGAATAAACCACCCAGAGTGACAGCTGTAGGTGCTTCAGGCAGGGTCACAGAGGCTCTAAATCAGATCCTTGGCACGTTGGTGGCACGTTGCTTTAATAAGTTTTGTTCTAGTGGTGGGAATGACAAGCACAGAACAATACTATCACCAAATGTTCCTCACGATAATGTTGTGTATTTGTGGCAAGACATTAGTGGTGGACCATGTAGTGAAGGGTCACTGCTAGAGATTAAACATTAGGTGATTAATCGGTTAATAGTTTGAACCATTTTTTAAGCTAAAACTCAGTTTCCAGCTTCTTAATTGTGAGTATTTTCTGCTTTTCTTTGTCTTGTATTAGATTAAATGAAATATCTTTGGGTTTTGGATGGTTGGTCAGACAATTGTTGACTAACTGTTTTTGGACATTTACCTGGTAGATTAAGTGATAATCAATAAACTGGTAGCTGTGGCTTTAGTCACTGCTCTTATCCTTGATCAACTGGTTTGATTACACCAGCAACATCATCAGGTTCAAGCTACAGCTGGCCTTGATGCTCAAGTAAAAAATGTCTGAAATGATCTAACTGTTCAACTAATCGTTGCAGCTCTAAACAAAAAAAAAATCAACTGAGCAACTGGTAATGGATAAAATAACGAGTGAAGAAGATACAAGTGTAAATTAGCCTTCGTCATCACATTGATGCGAAGATCATGTAAAAATTCAACCAGTCCTGATAGACAACTTTATATTGTGTCACAGTGATTATCATCATATCACCATCCTGAGTGTAACTGATTATAGATTACAGTATGTTCTTCTGCATGACAACATCTGGGCCCAAAGAGTGAAGATATTTCCATTACATAATAAATTATTTGAAGAAAGCCTGGTGAACTAAGAATTGTTTAAAATCTGACTGGGATCTGACAGCTCTGGTTATTATGATGGTGGGGGGAGGTCCGATAAAATACTGCTTCTGTGTCAGACCGGACGATATCGGTGTCAGGCTGTCAGATAGTGTGATGAGTGTCTGGTGAATCTTAGCGCTACGATGGAGAATAACGCACAAGAGCAGAGACACATCATCAGCTCACTGTATCATCATCATCCGAGCTGCTCTTATGTTCTGAACGCAGCTCGTCTTTGCCAGAGTCACACAATCTTTGTTTTTCCTTTCACCTCCATTGTTGTGGTTTGTGTGTGTGAGTGTGAACAAACTTAATTCAAAAGTAACACGTACGACATGTTGTGTCGCATAGTGTACTCTGCATTATCTCATGTTACATTCTTTTTTGAACAATTTATTTATTGAGTTTTCCAAAATACAGAGCAGTCTGCAAGAGAAAACACAGGAGTGAAACATCAAAGATAATGAAAGAGAAAATAACATAACGAAAATACGAAATAGGTAAATAAAAATAATAAATTTTGTATAATAAAATAACCAATATAATTTAAAAAAAAAATTATTATTATTATTTATTTTTTTTAATAATTAAAAAAATATTTTTAAAAATTAACATGTTACAAATCACGTTACATTCTGATTGGTTTGTTTGCAGATGTGAGTTATAGCAATTGGACTTTGGTCTTTGGCCACCAAACTGTCCATCAGTGGATACGTCTCATGGTGAGATCCCGGACCACAGATTTCACCATGTTTCTCTCACAACTGTCACTTTCCGTCTCAGACAGCCTGAAGCTGCGGTGTGAGTGTGAGCCGTTAGATGTGTCTCACAGATATTGAGCTGTGGGTTTGTTAATTAGAGCTCATCGCAATGATTGTTGGTGCCGAAGCTGCTGATCAGTGACATTCTGCACCTTCTCTGGTCTGAATGACACTTGACTGAAAGATCTCAGCTCAGGTGAAACAACTGCTCTCTCTCTCTCTCTCTCTCTCTGTGTGTGTGTGTGTGTGTGTGTGTGTGTGTGTGTGTGTGTGTGTGTCCTCCGTGACTGACAGAGGAAGTGTTGTTTTTGTGGCTGTACTGTCTGGTCACGTGATCTCAGCTTCCCAGCAGCCTTAGCCGGTGTGGTCGCCTGTGGTTGCTTCAGCAGACACAAACTAACTCGTTTAAAACCTTCATCCTGCTCAAGTGTCCTTCAGGAGGATACCAGATCTCAGCCAGCTCCAGACTTTGACCTTTGACCTCCTCCCCTTTTGGTCTAGTATTTATTGCAGTATTTTGGTGCTCAAAGAAAACAAAGAAAATGAATTGTCAGTTGATAATTTAATCTATTTAAACAGATTAATTAATAATTATTGAATAAAAAAAGTCAAACCTTTACGTTCACTTTGAGGTTTGGCATTTATTCTTCTTCTCTGACATTTAGTCAGTTATAAAAATGTACACATTAAACATTAACAAAAGTATTCATTATTTGTAGCTATACCTGTTTGAATAGGTATCTGGTTAAAGGTGCACTTGTGAACCAAACTGTAGCCCAGTTCAAAACACATGACTGAAAGCTACCATCACTCCAAGACTGATTGATTATTCCCATTATTGATTAATCTATGAAGTATCAAAGAATGTCAAAAATGCCCATCACAGCTTCACAGAGCAAAATGATGCCTTCAAATGTTTTGTTTTGTTCGATCCAAAGTCCAAATAAACAAAAATATATAAAGTTTATCATGATGTGACAAAGAAAAGCAGAAAGTCTTCTCATTAGAGAGGCTGAAATCAGAGAATACTTGTCACTGTGTCACTATTTTTATTTCAAAAATGAGTCACGATTAATATATTATCAAAATATCTGCCTGTTCCAACAGCTTAACCGTAGTTATCAATATTTCTTTGTGTTCAAGGTTGATCAGATTTGTCTGAACACCAACAGTATGTTCAGTTCAGTGATGCAGTTTCTATTTTTAAAGCTACAAGTCAAACTCTTCACTTTTTATAGTCAAAACTCAAACCAGCCATAATATTAAAAGAGCTGCTCTCATGTTTTGAATAGAAAAAAATCTTAATGTGCAAACTAACACTCAAGTCATATCCCAGTATTTCAGATTATGTTATTATCTGTGTTGGTTTAATGTTTCATCCTCGGTGGCAGCAGTCCTGTATAAAACACTGAAGGGTTTCACCCCTGACTGTGTTACAGTCTGTGAAAGTCCTCCCAGTTCCTGTATGTGGTCACACAGAGGACAGGTGTGTGTTACCTGAAACTCAGCTGAAACAGAGGAGTGGAATGTAGAAGAATACAAAGTCCATCTGATAGTGTCGCAGCAGCTGAGCCTGTCGGATGATTTAGCTGGTTTTAAACTGCAGGACTCTGAACAGGCTGCAGGTCTGGATCAGCTCTGGATCAGGACTGTATCTGCCTGTTGGAACAGGCTCTAATGTTCTGCATAATTGGAGAGAGATCCAAACCAATACCAAAACCTCCGGAGGTTCCGTTGCATCCTTTGCGGTGTTAAGAGGTGATTCAGGAGCTGCTGGGGGTTCTTCTAGGGGGTCTAGTCCACAGAGGAGTTTCTATGGGTCTTTAAGAGGTTCTAGTGGTCACCGATGATGTTTTATTGGTTCCTTAGGAGAATCTAGAGTCCATTGATGTGATTTGAAGGTTCTGTAAGATTATCTGAGG